TTACTTTTTCAATGGAAAAGAGGATACTCTGAATTTCTCCTATGAGGAAACATCACATCCTTGTGTCAGTAGGACGGCTGACCAAAAGATCAACAGTTCGAATCCATGGAGCAGTGAGCTCCAGTCTGTCAGCTCCAGCTACTCATGCGAGGGCATGAAAGAAGCCTCCCACAGGATGGTAAAACATCTGGGCATCCCCTGGGCAATGTCCTTAAAGATGGCCAGTTCTCTCACACCAGAAGCGACTTGCAGTTTCTTAAGTCGCTCCTGACACAAGATATCTATATCTATATCTATATCTATATCCATTCAGAATAATGCACTTGTACTGGTTACAATGTTTGCAGTGTTTGTTATTTTGGAACAAGCTGGAGGAGTAGCAAATAATTATGACCACCCAAGTCAGAAGAAAACCACAGCACATGCTAATCCCTATGTTTCTTCTGCTTCCCTCATCATTAATACAGGAAATCTTATATAATCATTGGGATGTCAAACTTGCAGCCAGCCCCAGACAGAAATTTTATCCCTAGCTCTGAAGTGTTGAATGGTAGAGTGACCCTCTACTACTTGATCCCAAAAGAAAAGAGAACATCCCAGACAAAAATTATTCATGTTCAGACGTGTTGAGCTGTAAACAAGTTCGGCATCATCAGCTCTAGAATTTATTACTGGCACAAGTTCAAGACCAGGCATGGGCAAACTTCGGCCCTTTGGGTGTTTTGGACTTCAACTCTTGCAATTCTTAAGAATGTACTGGCTGTTAGGAAACGTGGGAGTTTAAGTCCCAAACACCTGAAGGGTCAAAGTTTTGTCCATGCTTGGTCTAGACTATAAAATTATTTGATACATACAGTGTTTGAAATACACCGCCAAGTAAATCCAGGACTCTGTCTTCGAGCAAAGAGAAAACTGAAGTGCACTATCCAGAAAGCATTTCAATTATTTTATTAACATAACGTTTTCTATATAATAAAAATCAGCAACAAAACAACTCTCCCCTCCAATTATCTATTTTCACCTGGCACAATGCATTAAATGGTATCTCTATGATTTATTAAAAGCAGCTTTTATGGGCTTGTTTTCCTGTTGTTACTGCAGAAATATCAAGCTGAGTAGAATGAATATGTTTAAAGTGGCAGAAACTACATTGATCAGGGAACCTATTAATTACACTATTAATTACACTATGTAACAAAATTTGAAAACTTTTCTGTTCCTGATTATTTCCTGTTTTATTATGCAGTTATACTCCAGAAACTTCATTTTTGTGGCTGCCACAAACTGTAAAATTGTTTGTGGCTGCCACAAACTGTATTGAGTTTGTTGACTTTAAGTGAGATAGTCATTGAAAAACTATAGCAAAATGTGCTGCGGGATGTCCCACAAAAACATAGTTTTTGCAGTTTAATAAACTTTTCCCATGTTTTTATGCTAGAACCAATTAGGAAATGACATTGATAACCCAGGAACAAAAATCGTGCTACATAGTGTCACCTGAGTCCCCCTTCGGGGGTTGAGAAGAGATGGGATAGAAATACCTGAAATAAATAAATAAATAAATAATCTATCAACTTAATCTCTTTGGGATTTTAGTGGAATCTAACCAGACATCAATAGTCAGGTGCCAGCTCCAACAGGGTAACAGAAGTGTAGGAAAAGCAAAAGCACATGAAATTGTGCAATCCAAAAATCCTCAAATGTCAAATTAATCAGAGCTCAGAAGTAACTGGCAAAACCTTTATCCTATTTAAATGCTAATTTGTGCTGCCCTTAATGTTGTCTTCTGAGTGTTGAGGTAATGATGACCTGTGTGAGAAAATAGTGCATTTTGTACAGCTTGTGACATTCAACTTTTCTTTTAAAAATTATCTGGGAGTATTTATTTGAGTTGTGTTTGATAAACCAGAAAGGAGATACTCTGGAAAACTGGGACTAAACCAGAAACTTCTTGGGGAGAGGAGGTTAATACAATTATAGTTGCTTATGAAAAAAATAATTTTCCAAGCTCTGTGTAACAAAATTTGAAAAGAAATCGGATTCTATTTTGAAAGTGTTACTTTCTGTTTAATTGTGCAGACCTTTGAAAGTTGTTGTTATAATCCAGAAACTTCAATTTTGTGGCTGCCACAAACTTTTCCCAGAGGAAAAGTTTTCTTACTATACATCAATGGAACCACTGACCACCTAGGGAAACTGATGAAGGAGCACAACATACAAACTTTCTACAGACCTACTAAGAAAATCCACCAAATGCTACTTTGAGCAAAGGACAAGAGGGATCATCTCACCTCTGCAGTATTATTTCCTGTTTAATTGTGCAGGACTTTGAAAGTTGTTGTTATACTCCAGAAATTTCAATTTTATGGATGCCACAAACTTTTCCCAGAGGAAAAGTGTTCTTGCCATACATCAAGGGAACTACTGACCGCATAGGGAAACTGATGAGGAAACACAACATACAAACCACTTACAGACCCACCAAGAAAATCCAACAAATGCTACGTTCAGCAAAGGACAAGAGGGATCCTCTCACCTCTGCAGGAGTCTACCGTATACCATGCAGCTGTGGACAAGTCTACATAGAGACCACCAAACGCAGCATTGCCCAGACACGAATCAAGGAACATGAAAGGCACTGCAAATTACATCAACTAGAGAAGCCAGCCATAGCAGAGCACCTGATGAACCAACCTGGACAAAGCATATTATTTGGGAACACAGAAATGTTGGACCACTCCATGTCACCATGGACCACGTCAGGCTATACAGAGAAGCCACTGAAATTCACAAGCGTGTAGATAATTTCAACAGAAAGGAGGAAACCATGAAAATGAACAAAATCTTGCTACCAGTATTAAAAACTCTAAAATCAAGGATAGTAAATAAAGAGAACAACACTCAGAAAACAGGGGAATCCCAGGCAGGAAACAATTAGGCCCAGCTAACACCTCCCAACAAAGGTTTTTCTCAGCCAGGCTTTGAAGCTGCTATTCATCGCTAACCAAGGTTGTCAATTGCAACATTCACACTTGCCTCAAGAAGACAAGAGTTCTTTCTCCCATCCTGGACATTCCACAGATATATAAAGCCCAGTTTCCAACAATCCTCAGAACCTCTCAGGATGCCTGCCATAGATGTGGGCGAAATATCAAGCGAGAATGCTTCTGGAACATGGCCATATAGCCCGGGAAACTCACAGCAACCCTATGTTGAATTGGTCGAGACTCTCTGAGATATTCATTGATAAACTAAACACATTCTGCAGCAAAACTGTGCTGCAAAATGTGCTGCAAAAACAAAGTTTGTGCAATCCAATAAACTTTTCCCATGTTTTCATGATAGAACAAATTAGGAAATGACATTTATAACCCAGGAACAAAAATCATGTTACATGCTGATACCACATTTTATCTGAAATATAACTGATCTAGTTTTCATTGGCATTTTAATTGTGTTGGGCAACAAACACAAGGCATCAATGCCAGGAAATGCTGTCAGCCATTCAATCCTCTTTGCTTGGGAACCACAACTTCCTCATCATGCAAATTTGCTTTTTTGGTGTCATCCCTTAAATACTGTCGAAAATAGGGTTGGGTAAGTTTCACTTCTCAGCGCAAACTGAAAGGAAGGCCGACATTGCTGCACACTTTGGTGAGACTTCAGCATCTCTCATTTCCCCAATTGATCCCTGAAGAAACATCCATTCACTACGGCTCTTCCACACAGCCATATAACCCAGAATATCAAGGCAAATAATGCACAATATCGGCTTTGCACTGGGTTATTTTAGGACCTTTCCACACAGACATATAACCCAGAATATCAAGGCAGATCATCCACAATATCCGTTTTGAACTGGTTTATCTCGGTGCCCTTCCACACGGGCATATAACCCAGAATATCTAGGCAGATCATCCATAATATCAGCTTTGAACTGGGTTATCTCAAGGCCCTTCCACACAGACATATAACCCAGAATATCAAGGCAGATAATCCATAGTATCAGCTTTGAACTGGTTTATCTCAGGTCCCTTCCACACAGACATATAACCCAGAATATCAAGTCAGATCATCCACAATATCAGCTTTGAACTGGGTTATCTCAGGGTCCTTCCACACAGACATATAACCCAGAATATTAAGGCAGATCATCCATAATATCTGATTTGAACTGGGTTATCTGAGTCCATGCTGCCATATAACCCAGTTCAAAGCAGATAATGTTGGATTTTACAGTTGTATGGAAGACAGCTTAGTCCACACTGCCATTTAATCCAGTTCAATGTGGATTTTATAGTAAAGGAAAGGTAAAAGTTTTCCCTTGACATTAAGTCTAGTCGTATTCGACTCTGTGGGGTGATGCTCATCAACGCTGAAGAGCCGACGTTGTCCATAGACACCTCCAAGGTCATATGGCCAGCATGACTGCATGGAGTGCTATTACCTTCCTGCCAGAGCAGTACCTATTGATCTACTCACATTTGCATGTTTTCGAACTGTTAGGTTGGCAGAAGCTGGGGCTGACAGCGGAAGCTCACGCCGCTCCCTTCGAACTGTTAGGTGGGCAGAAGCTGGGGCTAACAGTGGGAGCTCACCCTGTTCCCTAGATTCGAACTAGCAACTTTTCGGTCAGCAAGTTCAGCAACTCAGCAGTTTAACCTGCTGTGCCACTGGGGGATATTATACCTCTCCTTTTCCTTTTGATATTCAGCAATCCCTTCTTTGTCTCTTGCCTTTCCCTCCCATCAGACTTGAGGCTGCAAACTCCTTGGAGCAGAGAGCTGTTCCTCCACTCTGCAGCAGGTACACTGAAGGTGACCAAAATGTAGAAGGCAACAGGGAGGAGAGGGAAAAGCACAGAAGAGATCTCTATTATTTCTCCCCACCCTCCATCCTGGGTTGTATTGAACTCGCCCCAAACCCTTCAAGCCGGTCTGATGAGCTCTTTCCATGTCAAAAAGCTGCAAGGAAGGAGGTGGAGTGAGAGAAGGGCTTACCCAGCGACTTGGGACGCCTGCCTCAGCAAGTCTGTCTCAGAGAGAAGGAAACAGGAGGTCAGCCAAGGGAGAGCAGCCGTCCCTTGCAGTCCAGGCAAGGGAAGGGATGCGCCTTCTCGCCTCCTTCCTACTGCTGAGACTGAGTGTCAACGAAGGAGCCGAAGCAGTGTGTGAAAACAGCCCCCCCCCCATAGTGCCCAATTGGGCCATCCCGCACGCAGCCGCGCCGCTGAGGGAGGAACCAACGGGGGAAGGAAGGGGGGGGGGAGGGAGAGAGAGACTGATTGCAAAGCAGAGCGCGCGCTCCCCTGCAGCCAGCCTTACCTGCTCTTGGTTTCTGCGTCTAGCAGGAGGAGGGCTGTCCAAACAGAAGTCAGCCCACTGCTCGCTCCCTCAGTTGTTTCTGAAGGCTTCCCCTCCGCTCCTTCAGAAACAACTCAATGCAGGCCCAGGGCGCCTTAGACGCTCCCAGGCAGTGCAGTTGACTCAGAAGTCAAGGAGGACACTCCCCGCCCAAAGTTCACCTTTCCCTTTGATGCCTTAAAGCAGAGCTCTCCAAACCTTGGGGTGTTGTGTGGTTTCCAGGCTGTATGGCTCTGTCCTTGCAGCATTTTCTCCTGGCGTTTGGCCTCCATGAAAGCCTTGAACAATACATTTCCAAGCATAGTATAGACATTTCAGGACACAGTGATTCAGGGCCCTTCCACACAGCCGTATATCCCAGAATATCAAGGCAGAACATCTATTATTTATTTATTTATTTATTTATTTATTTCGGACATTTGTATCCCGTCCTATCTCGACCTCCACAGAGGGACTCAGGGTGGCTAACAACCAATTATTATTTTATTATTATTAAACTTTATTTGTACCCCGCTACCATCTCCCCAAGAGACTCGGTGCGATTTAAATGAGGCTGAGCCCACAATACAACAATAAACAATAGCAACAATAATACAACAATAAATAAAACTCATAAACAGAAAATAGCAATAAACATTAACAATAACACAACGACGTTTAAAAAGCTATGGCAGGGCCAAATATACTGATTAAAAAATTAAAAAATAATGCTGGGCGTGACCAGGTGACATATAAACAGGATAGAAATTTTGGAGAGCGATAGAGCGTGCAGACAATCCTAAAACACTACTAAAGTGTGTTTAGGGTCATATTGCTGGGAGTTTCCTTATTCTGGGAAGGCACATTGGAACAACCACGTTTTCAGGCTCCTCCTAAAGACTGCCAACGTTGGAGCATGTCTGATGTCCCTGGGGAGTGAGTTCCAGAGTCGAGGGGCCACCACCGAGAAGGCCCTGTCTCCATAGTGCCCACAACCAAAAGCATAAATATACAATTTAAATAAAAGCAATATAAAACAGTATAAAACATTCAAACAGTCCAACAGTCACCGATTTAAGTCATCGTCCTAAAAACAGTCTGTCAAGTCCATTAAAGTCGTCGCTTTGCCAGCAGGTCAGCCTAGTCTGCAAAGGCCTGATCCCATAGCCAGGATTCCACTTGTTTCCAAAAGGTCGGGAGGGATGTAGCAGATCTAATTTAACTTGGGAGGGAGTTCTACAGTCGAGGGGCCACCACAGAAAAGGCCCTGTCCCTTGTCCCCACCAAACGAGCCTGCTGAGTGGGATCATGAGCAGGGCCTCCCCGGATGATCTTAGGGTCCTAGGTGGATTGTAGCGGGAGATACGTTCGGACAAGTAAGCTGGTCCAGAACCATTAAGGGCCCACAATATCTGCTTTGAACTGGGTTATCCGAGTCCACACTGCCATATATATTATGTAACATAATATATTGTATATACATATAATATTTATAATATTATAATGTAATGCAATATAATATTATATTATAAATATATATTTATGTTACATGTAATATTAGTAATAATATTACAATATAATGGGATAATACAATATAATAATATTTAATACTGGTATTGTACTATGCTAATAATATATTATATTGTATGTATATATATCTTGTAAGCCACTCTGAGTCCCATTTGGGGTGAGAAGGGCGGCATATAAATGTCGTGTGTGTGTGTGTGTGTGTGTGTGTGTGTATATATATACATACACCAGTTCAAAGTAGATAATATGAGATTTCATTCAGCTGTATGGAAGGGGCCTCAGTTTTACTAGTGAACCGGAGACCCAGCCAAACCCTTAAAAGAGATACTTATTAGAGACCATAACCTTTTAGAGAAGAGCCGAAAACCATTGAAAGCAGAGGCTTTTCTTGTAGTGTTCTTAATTGTTTATTCCAGTCTATGTAGTTTACTGCATTACTCTTTATTGTATTGCTAGCTTAGGTATGTGGCATTGCCCGGGTTATTTGAAAAAAGACACATTTTTAATTGTGCAAAATCCAGAACGTTGTGGGTGAACTACAACTCACATTGTGCCAGGTTAACCCCAAAAAACTCCATCAGTACTGAGTTTGTTATGTTGGGCAAGTTTGCTCTAGATCAACATTTCTCAACCTAGGGGTCGGCCCCCTGGGGGGGGGGGAATCGCAAAGGGTATCAGTGGGTTGCCAAAGACTATAAGAAAACACAGTATTTTCTGTTGGTGATGGGGTCCTGTGTAAGAAGTTTAGCCTAATACTATCACTGGTGGGGTTCAGAATGCTCTTTGATTGTAGGTGAACTATAAATCCCAGCAACCACAACTCCCAAATGTCAAGGTTTATTTTCCCCAAACTCCACCAGTCTTCACATCTGGGCATATTGAATATTTGTGCTAAGTTTGGTCCAGATCTATCATTATTTGAATCCACAGTGCTCTCTGGATGTAGGAGAACTACAACTCCAAAACTCAAGGTCAATTACCACCGAACCCTTCCAGTATATTCTGTTGAGAGCTCTGTGTGTCAAATTTGGTTCAATTCCATCATCGATGGAGTACAGGTGAACTATAAATCCCAGTAACAACAACTCCCAAATGACAAAACCAAATGCTGGTTCGATAGCAAGCCATAAAGCCCCCAAATTGCTGCTATTTAGAATGGGAAATGCTGAGAGAAGAGGATACCGCCACTACACAACCATCTAACACACTGCCTAAAATAGTCTGAGTTTGAGTAATGATATAGATGGCTGTAAGAAGAACAAGATCAGATATACTTTTATTTTGATTTACAGCACCAAGTGTTTGAGGTGAGAGAGAGCACTAATAGTATCAGGTGACCTTCCATATGAACTGGTACTATAGAGGAAGACACTATCAACTGCCAACACAAGAGAATTGCCTTTTCCATAAGAGCTAGAGCTATACTTTGAGCTACTGACATCCATTATAAAAGACATATTTTCCTATAGTGTGTGAAAGAAGCTAAGCTGATCATAAGTGAATCTAGTGGCGTGTGATCCATGTAAAGAAATGAACAATAGTGTGAACTTCATAAGGAACAATGGCTAAACATACAATTTTGTTTCTGTAACAGATTTGAAAAAAATACCTGGGATTTGCAACAATTTACCTTACATTATGACAATAGCAAAATACTACTTTCACAGAAGCTATTTCACTTAATGAAGTCAATATTAACAACATGGTTTCTGTTTGTATCTAAATTAACTGAACATACAAGCTTGAATGGTGAAGCCCTCGGTGGCGCAGCGGGTTAAAGCGCTGAGCTGCTGAACTTGCTGACTGAGAGGATGGCAGTTTGAATCTGGGAAGTGGGGTGAGCTCCTCTTGTTAGCCCCAGCTTCTGCCAACCTAGCAGTTTGAAAACATGCAAATGTGAGCTCGATAGGTACTGCATCGGCAGGAAGGTAACGGCGTTCCATGCAGTCATGCTAGCCACATGACCTTGGAGGTGTCTGCGGACAATGCTGGCTCTTCGGCTTAGAAACTGAGATGAGCACCACTCCCCAGAGTCAGAAACGCTTGACTTAATGTCAAGGGAAACCTTTACCTTTACTTACAAACTTGAACAACAATGTAGATGTTCCAATCTCATGAATTATGGTAGAACACCATAGGAAAAGTGTTGGCATTAGTTTCTTAAAAGCCTATTTTTATGCAGTTGCTTTTGGGAGAGGGAACACTTTAATGAAGGCCTGAGTCAATCCTTATTTCAGTGTGAAGACCTTTTCCCTTGGCTCCAACAGGCTTCGAATCAAAACAAATTCTTTTCTAATGACATGTTTATTTTCCCGGGTCTATTTATATATTGTAAAAGCCATGAGTATGTGCAGAACCCAAATGGCGTGTGCTTTGCAAGAATATTAGGGCTGTCTACAGACTGCAGGGGAGGGAAGATCAGATAACAAAGCTGGCATCAGGGCTGAACTGACCTTGTAGGACTAGAACATGTTTCTTTTCTTTCTTACACTTATAATTATGGATCTTGTAGTTTTTTATTAACACCATTACAAAAAAAAAAATTAGCACTATTTCATCTGTATTTACAGATGATTTTAAGTGTTGGTACCACAACCTGAAGTATCTACATCAGTGAGAAAAATGTAACAACTGTTCCAGTGTCTTGCAGTACTATTACAACGCAAGAATTGTAGCAGAACAGAGTGTCCTGTGACTTCGTAAAGTCTACAAAGCTTAACATGGTAAGCATTTTCATAACCAGGAACCTAATCAGATCTATAAAGCAGTAAGAACTTATACTGGATATTTTATAAAGAAATATATGGCAGTATTCGAATGTTTCACTTTCACTGTGATGTGAAAGTAACTTTAAAGGGTCAGCCAGATACACTATTGCCATCATTAAGAATTACTGAGGGGACATCCACACAGCACCAATAGTGCGCACCCTCTTGCGGTTTCCTCTGGGGCGTCTAGATGACACCTCAGGGAAAAATGAAAGATTTCGGCACAAAGCAGGAAAATTCTGCTTTGTGCTAACATAATTTGTCTGCTGGAAAGACCTGGGTGCTGTGTAGATGGACCGGGGATCATGCTGCACGACTTCTGGTGCCCATCTACACATCTGTCTCAGGTTTCTTGGGTTCCTGGGGCCCAAGAAACCCAAGACAGCCCCTACCCTCTCCAAAATCTCCCAGAAAAGCCTTTAAAAATAAATTAACTTACCTGGTCACCATTAGACTGCTGCCAGAGCTCTCCTGGCACATAGGAATGACGTGCCAGGAGAAGGGGGGGGAGCAATTTTCTTCCCCCTCTCCTGGCACATAATTCCTATGCACCAGGAGAACTCCAGCAGCAGTCTAATGGTGGTCGGTAAGTTATTTTATTTTTTAAAGGCTTTAAAAAGGGGGGTTAGGGAGCAGGTGGGGGGTTGTCTACCTGTCCTCCAAGAAGGTTCCAGGAGGGCCTTTGGACCCCCCCCCCCAGATCTGTGTGGACTGTAACCTGGGAGAAATCACATTTTAAAAACTCGATTGCTCCTGGGTTAAAGGGCTGCGTGGAACTGCTCTGAGTGGAGGAATAAACTAACAAACTACTCATAAGACGTGCTGCATGACTATGAGGAGGGCATTACTTTTCAAAAACCATACCCAACATAAACAATTTATGTAGTAACTAGCCGTCCCCTGCCACGCGTTGCTGTGGCCCAGTCTGGTGATCTGGAAAATAATAAAAAAGTGTTGGTTTCTAATATATGTAATTTCTTTATGCTTGTGGGTAAACAGTATTTCTTATTGTTTCTTTGTCAGTGATGTAGAGATTATCTGGTTTCCCTGCTCTGGAACATACAACATATAATTGTCCTTCTTTAGGGGTCCCTTTCAAATCTATGATACTGTGTGTGTGTGTGTGAATCATATATATCTATGGCTGGATGGCTGTTTGTCAGGAGGGTTTTGATTATATTTTCTTGCCCGGTGAAGGGAGTTGGACTGGATGGCCTTAAGTATTTTCTGTTGGTCATGGGGGTTCTGTGTGGAAAGTTTGCCCCAATTCTGTCGTTGGTGGGGTTCAGAATGCTCTTTGATTGTAGGTGAACTATAATTCCCAGTAAATCCAACTCCCAAATGTCAAGGTCTATTTTCCTCAAACTCCATCTGTGTTCATATTTGGGCATACGGAATATTCATGCCAAGTTTGGTCCAGATCCATCATTGTTTGAGTTCACAGTACTCTCTGGATGTAGGTGAACTGCAACTCCCAAACTCAAGGTCAATGCCCATCAAACCTTTCTAGTGTTTTCTGTTGGTCATGTGTCCAGTGTGCCAAGTTTGGTTCAATTCCATCATTGGTGGAGTTCAGAATGCTTCTTCATGGTAGGTGAACTATAAATCCCAGCAACTACAACTCACAAATGACAAACTCAATTTTTGAGTGATGGTCACTCCTTGGGTTAGTAGGCGTCTTGTGGCCAATCTGTCCAGTGGTTTTTGAGCTATGTTAATCCCACAAATGAACATTACATTTTTATTTATATAGATTATCAGCAATTAATCTTTCTGATCCCTAACAAACACTTGTTCTTTATAATAATTCTAATGAATTCAATTCTATAATAGTGCATTTTAGTTTTCTGCAATTTTAAAAACTGACTACAAAGTGAGGAGTGGGACACAGGACCCTTCCACACAGCCATATAACCCAGGATATCAAGGCAGATAATCCACAATATCTGATTTCAACTGGTTTATCTGAGTACACACAGCTGTACAGTTGTGAGGAAGGGGCCCCAGAAAAGGAAATTGCGTGATATTTGGAGTAATATTGCAAAACTGTTTTCTGCATATTCTTATGCAGATTTTTATATTTAAAGTTTCACTTCTCCCTAGTTAACACCCTTCTCAATCAGTTATTTTAATGCTGTGACATATCTTTATACTAAAGAAATACCTGATTGGGAAAACAACATCGTTTCTCTCTGCACAATTCACATACATAGCACTCTTTTAGAAATAAGATAGAAAGAAACACTGGCGGCGCAACAAGTTAAGCTGCTGAACTTGTTGACTGAATCCAGGGAGCAGGATGAGCTCCTGCTGTTAGCTCCAGCTTCTGCCAACTAGCAGTTCGAAAACATGCAAATGTTAGTAGGTACTGCTCCAGCAGGAAGGTAATGCCACTCCATGCAGGCATGCCGGCCACGTGACTTTGGAGATGTCTAAGCCTGCTCTTCGGCTTAGAAATGGAGATGAGCATCACCCCCAGAGTCGGGCACGACTAGACTTAATGTCAGGGGAAACCTTTACCTTTACTTAGAAAGAAACAGCAGAAAGGCAAAGGCAACCCCCCTGCCGAAAAAACATGCTAAGAAAACCCTGTGATTGGTTCACCTCAGGGTTGCTATATTTCAAAAATGACTTGAAAGCACACATCAACAAACCCTAATACACTGATGGATTTTAGTATACTGTAAAAAGGAGGAAATCATTGCCAAAAGGTTAAATAATAAAGTTGTCTTTTTAATATCACTGATAATTTATACTCCAAATGTACAGAGCAAAATGCCAGCATTATGAATTAGAATCATAGAGTTGGAAGAGAACACATGGGCTATGTAGTCCAACCCCCTGCCATGCAGGAAAAGTACAATGTAGAATCATTGAATTGGATTGCATTAAAAGAGGGGAGACAGAGATAAAAAAATCTGGCATAGGAAGCTTTCTCTCCAGTTGAAGTTAAACAGAATTTGGTTCACCAAAGACAACAGTCGGTTATGTTTGATCATTGCAGGCACCGAACAGGGCAGAAGAAGGAAAAGTACAAAGGAAGAAAGGAAGGGAGGGCATAAGAAATATAAATAGGACAAATCCTGCTTGTACAGTTCAAGACTTCAAAAAAAGAGTATTTCCATGGGGAAAATAGTTGTTTAATTTCTTTAGAACTTTCACACAGACTAGCTGTACTCAGTGATTGTTTTGCAAAATTAAGTCTAAACAATGCTGTGCTACCATTCAGAGATGCTGACTGTAAATACTCCATTCTTGTGAAACTGTTCCAGCTATTGGTTTCTTTCATATTTGAAGAATAAAACAATAAACAAACAGGGCTATTGCAGAGTTTGTCTTTGCTGTACACTGTCTGAAATCTTGATATGTTGATTGATTGCATCCATTTTCAATTGTTTATCTTTCTTTTTAAAGCATTTGCAGTAACAACATGTATTCAACATAATACAAGAGGTCTTGCTCTTCTCCTTACAACTGAAAAGATCTGACATACAGAAGAGAAGCAAAGTAAGAAAATGGGCAGAGAAGCACAAGAGAGTGAAGAGGTAGCCATTCAACAGACATTTAGGTATATCAGGAGAATACGGCAGATATGGTAGAATTCATTGTTGTCTGTAATTCCAGTTATGTGTTATAGGAAGGTCTTATGCAAATTTACACCAAAAATGATTTTACTAAAAATTCCATTTTAACAAGAAGTTCTTTTAGTTTAAAACGAATTCACACAGAGAAGACATATTTTGCCTCTTAAAATACAAATGATCAGGAAAAAAACCCATACACAATTGTTTCTCAAAGACTAAAAAGTACAGCCATATTTATGAATCCACGGTTCTTTTATCAACATTACAAGTTACTGAAACAGACAGAAAAATTACTCTGGTTTGGGCTGCAGCTTATTCTTCTCCGGCTCAAAGAAGTATTTTTCAATAGCATCAACCAATTCATCCAGTTCTTTCTTAAATTTTTCAAAGTCACTAAAATGAAATAAAAATAAGATAAGCATGATGAAAGCATATAATATATATTTCTATCTGTAGATTCTATAATACATAAACTGCTGTTCATGATATGAAACGGCAGTGCATTTGAGCCTCTCAATCTCCTTAACACATCATTTTATCAATAAATTCTAACTATCATCAACTGAATTTCCACTTCCAGACTGTCTTCAGTAAGTTAGAAAGCAGGAGAGAAATATTGAGGAACATCTTTTCTGCTTTTTTTAAGGCATGATCAGAACTGCACAGGCATTTAGCCCTCCACATTTATGGGTTAAGGATTTATGGAGTTGATTACTTGTAGATTACTCTATATGTTACTCTATATGTCACCACATCCACTTCTGTCCTGTGCTATTTTTAATAGGGACTTTGATAACACTGCTTTCACTGAGGGCGCATCCAGACAGTGTGTGCCCTCTCACGTTTGCCCCATGGCTGTCCAGACGACATCTCAGGGAAAAATGAATGGTTTCGGCACAAAGCAGGAAAACTCTGCTTTGTGCCAAAGAAATTTGATAGCAGGTTAGATCTGTGCATTCTTGAAAGGCGTGGATTGAACCCACTTTGGCCATTGTCTGAAGGAACATACCAATGATGCCTGAAAAGAAGGGGGGGCCCAAATCGCTCCTGGCTCCCCCTATCTTTTCGCTAGTGTCTGGGACATTGATAAAAGCCCTTCCAGACCATAAGCACTGTACATGTCTAAGAGGACATTAATTAACACAAGTTAATGCAGTAACAAACAAGGTGGCTGGTATTGCACCACTGTAATACAATGGGATACAATTTGGTGGCTACCAAACCATGTAAACTGGTAAATGACTACTCTGTGACAAACTTTCTTCTTAAATTTTAATAATCATTTGATAGAAAGAATGGTATTTCCAAATCATACCTGTTCCCAGGAGGTGCACAAAGCTCTGTATAGTATTTGATTTTAGGTTCGGTCCCACTTGTCCGCATAGTTGCCACACATCCATTATTGAAAGTGAATGTTATCATCTGGCTACTCGTACTTGAAGGGAGAACCTAAACCAGAGAATTTGATTTCATCAGAATTTTTGTCACTAAAAAGCTAAGATGTGTGAAGTTTAAGTGAAAGATCAGAAGATATCATCTTTGCTTATTTTGTTCTCACAGGCAAGAATTTCAAAAGCTTTCTCCCCAGTAAAAGAGATTATGAGTTTTGTAGGAGTTTTTCAATGATTTTTCACATTCAGGGACTCCTTTGTGAAAATTTAGATTGTAATGAAAACTGACCTTTTTTGCCCCACTTCCCTAATATGGTTATCCAGGAAGTAAATGGCATCTGGTGCAAAAATAATGTCTATGCAAAACAAAAAAAAAACTGCACAGAAAAAAAACTTTTGTATACATGCATTTTTTTGTAGAACATTTCAAAATTATGGTATATCTAACAACAATTAGCCAATTGTTGTTAGACACAGTTTCTTATTAGCATTCACTGAGCAGGGAAATATCTCCAAGTGTTTTTTATCCATCCTAATTATGGAAAGGGGAATAAGGACAGATGATTAAAACATGACCCTGAACTTTTTGTCAATTAGTGGCATGTTAACCATGATAGTACAAACTGTCTGTGCAGAATAAAAACATGTTCTGATTTTCTCTAAAAATAAGTAATTAAGTAAAAAAAACACAACTAACAGTATACAATGCTTTCACTGTACAGAGTGAAATACAGTAATCTCAGTCACGCTTATTAAATCTTAATCCCCTGGGACACAATAGCAAAGATGTTTGTCTATAAAAGGCATGTTTGCCTAATATTACGCACTAACATTGTTGCCCCTAAAATCAGCAAGGGATAGAATATATTTCTAAACAAAGATATTTAAGAATATTGGGAGGGGGGGGGGCGATGGCGATGAGTATATGTTGAGCAATATTGTACAGAATAAGACAGAACCATTTACAAGTTATACTTACAGCTTTTTTATCAGGTTGGCTACTGTCATACCCAGTAGTGAGATCCCTGACTCCAGATACTGAAAATCTCCCACAGGTCTTTGGGTATGTGTTCTTTCCATCATAGTTTCTAAGCCTCTCAAATAGTTCCTTAATGATCTTCTGATCGTGACAGATAAAATATGAATTTTTGGTAACATGAAAGCCATACCTGTCAAAATGAAACAGTCACTTGTGAATCCATATAGCCTCTTTGTAGAAAATGTATTACATATATCATGAAATTAAACTCACTCATTGTAAATCATCTTAAGTTGCTGAGACAATGATAGATTCTTTGCTGCCAGAAAACTAGACATCTCTGCAGTTATGACTGCAGCACTGACACCATCTTTATCCAAAACTGCAGGGCTGCACATATACCCTAAAAAGGAAGGTTACAGGAAAATGGTTTGTTAAAATGGCTATTGGATATTCTTGACAGATAATAAAATAAATACTTAGATTATGCTTCCAAGACAGTTACAGTTGCTACAACTAAAGACACTAATAAAAGATTTTATCTTCGTTCATATTCTAGTTTGTTGCAGGAGGTTGATTATGATGCTTAAATCTTACCAAACTTAAACAACAAATAATTGCAAGGTTCTCACTCAGCTTGTTAATAACAAACTACAAGTATAAAATATATTCATGTATATTTTATAGCCAAAGATCTTCGATTACTGATGAAAAGAAGCTCCCCAGTCAGAAAGCTGCCACCTATGAACCCCACGCCTGGAGCCACCTATGACCATAGCACCACACAAGAGTCCAGAGTATATGCAGTTTATTGTGTGTGTGTGTGTGTGTGTATGTATGTATGTATGAAAGAAGCAGGGATAAAGAAAGGAGAGGAATAATCTGAAAAAGGTTTAGCAATAGGTGATAACCACACAGGAATCCAAATGTCTCATAAAAATCCAAAGGCAACACAGTCTAGAAATAGCCAAAACTCACAAGAACAGTATAAAGCCATAAGCAAAAGCCATACTTAGAAAAACTTGAGCAAGAATAATAAAACAAGAATATAGGAAACTTCCAGGATACTTGAATCCAAAACCAGGACTTGACACAAAACTAGGACTTGACACAAGAACTTAGGCCTAGCTTCTCACTCGAAAGCCAATGTTGCCTGAACTAACTTTAAGGTAAAGAACTGGCTGTTAAAACAGATTTGTTGTCCCTCACTTTTAAAAACGTTTTAAAAATATGTGGTGGAGGCTCCTTCTTTGGAATGCTTTTAAACAGAGGCTGGATGGCCATCTGTTGGGGGTGCTTTGAATGCAATTTTCCTGCTTCTTGGCAGGGGGTTGGACTGGATGGCCCATGAAGTCTCTTCCAACTCTATAATTCTATGATTCTATATTATGGTCAATTGCATTCAAGAAAGGCTTTTACTTTATTTTGTTAGCCTACCATCAAATAATTAAATGTATGTAGTTTCTTGCACTAGAATCATAGAATCATAGAATCAAAGAGTTGGAAGAGACCTCATGGGCCATCCAGTCCAACCCCCTGCCAAGAAGCAGGAATATTGCATTCAAATCACCCCTGACAGATGGCCATCCAGCCTCTGTTTAAAAGCTTCCAAAGAAGGAGCCTCCACCACACTCCGGGGCAGAGAGTTCCACTGCTAAATGGCTCTCACAGTCAGGAAGTTCTTCCTCATGTTCAGATGGAATCTCCTCTCTTGTAGTTTGAAGCCATTGTTCCGCGTCCTAGTCTCCAGGGAAGCAGAAAACAAGCTTGCTTCCTCCTCCCTGTGGCTTCCTCTCACATATTTATACATGGCTATCATGTCTCCTCTCAGCCTTCTCTTCTTCAGGCTAAACATGCCCAGCTCCTTAAGCCGCTCCTCATAGGGCTTGTTCTCCAGACCTTTTATCATTTTAGTCGCTCTCCTCTGGACACATTCCAGCTTGTCAATATACTACTATGTTATGAATTCAATTTTGTAGTTACGGTTACTCTAAGATTATAAGTATTTATAGATAAAGTATACAAAATACATATTTGTATGGAGGGCAGTGCTTTATGCTACATGCAGTATGTTTGTATATCTGTATATACAATATAAGTATACTTACGTACTACATATAGCATAAAGCACCCATGAATGGCTTTATACCTTATTAATTATCATGATCAGCAAAGGTGTTAACAACAGGTGAAAATGAACAGCTAGTCTTCTGTAACAAGATTTCATTATTGGTAAACAAGGGAAAGTGTATTACCAATAGCTTCTTCAAAAGCAAATAAGACAGTTTTTTCTTGGTCTATGAGTTGCTTTGCTCGATTTCCCATCCACTTGAATCCTGTTAATGTTTCCTGAAGAGAACAAGGGTCAGTGAGAGTATGTACTAGACTCATGAACAAATAAGGACATTTTTACATCTTTCATTCCTGCCTCTCAATCAGCTTACCTCAAAGTGAAAGCCTTCTTTAAGCGCAATTGCTCGTAGTATCTTGGAGGACACAGTGCTAGATAGCATGTATATGTCTTTGATGGCACTAGGATTCCGATTATGTTTTTTCCAACAAGTGAAGAGCCACCAGCCTAAAAGAGCTCCCGTTTCATTGCCAGAAAACACTTTCCATTCACCACTAAGTGAGACAAAGTCAGAGAAATGTTTTTAAATAATTAAAAGACAATAGATTGACAACTTTTGTGTGGAAGAAAATCAAAAACTGCAAGAAATAAAGTCTAATTCTGCTATGTGAAGAAAAAGGGGGATGTTTAGATGTGCAGATCCATTTATCTTCCATAGAAGTTGGATAGGTATCAGGCATGGGCAAACGTTGGCCTTTCATGTGTTTTGGACTTCAACTCCTAGAAATCCCAACCAGCTTACTGGCTGTTAGGAATTGTGGGAGCTGAAGTCCAAAGCACCCAGAGGGCTGAAGTTTGCCCATGCCTGATATATAGCCATTGAAAATAAAAATGAATTAAGATATACTCTGCAATATCCTGAAACAGGCAAACATTCAATGCCTTACAAAGTACAAACAACATCAGGAATAATACAAGATAATGCAGAATACTTACAGTAAACTTATAATGAGAAAATTAAATATTGAAATGGGGACTAGGTAGTAATAAACGAAGTTAGACAACAAAGACGTAAGCGAGCATTAAATATATATCATTAAAAGCAGTTAGAAAAGAATTGAAATTGAAATCGCTAATACAGGTGTCTATTAAAAATGTATCATAGCCGTCATATAGTGCAAATGGTTTTGCCAGCGTTCTGGTGGATTAAAGTATCTTAAAGTATCTAGATTTCTCTCAATTCCTGTTGACTCCTCCCCATTCTTAACTATGAGTCATTTCTAAATCGGATGTTTGTAACTTGGGGACTGTATAATCCCAACTAAAAATCGGCAGGAACATACATTCCATTGGAAATAATAATAATAATAATAATTATTATTATTATTATTATTTAATACCCCCACCATCTCCCCAATGGGGACTCGGGGTGGTTTACATGAGGCCAAGCCCAACAGCATATTACAATACAATAAAACCAAAACACAATAACAACACAGTAAAATACAACATATGAGTACAAAAAAGATAAAGCAAAATCATACACAATAAAATAACAATGAGCGGGCCACATGTGCAAGATAAAAAACTAAAATACTAAAAATATTAAAATCAGGATGAGACAGGGATGGAGCAGATTGTTTGTGAGGGAGAAACTCATAAAGGAACAGGGTCATAAAAATACAGGTGGGGAAATATACTCTGGGGACAAAAAACCGTTAAGGGGGAGCAACTGTGTATGATAGTATGGCTACTCTCCAAAAGTGCATCAGAAAACCAGGTTTTGAGATCCCTCTTGAAAATTTCTAAGGGTGGGGGCCTTCCGAATCTCACAAGGCAATGAGTTCCAGAGTCGAGGGGCCACAGAAGAGAAGGCTCTCTCCCTTGTGCTTACAAGACAGCAAAAGAAAAGGAACAATACAACAAAATAATACCTTAAAATAAAGAAAAAAATCCTACAGATTTGTTCCATTATTTATTTTCAGCAGCTATTGTGTATTCTGAACAATAGACTTGTTGCCAAGGATTGAAAGCAAAAAACGAACCGTACCCTTCTTGTTTCTCTGCAACAGCAAGCCGATCAGCATCAGGGTCATTGGCTAAAATGATCTGAGCTCCTTCTTTTTTAGCTAAAGCAAAGGAAAGAGTCTGAAATGAAAAATGATAAAAGTAAAGCTTCAAGCACCATGAATATGGCAGGTTTTTATCATTAAAAAAGAAAAGTAATCACAGCTTTGTTGTGCCCATTATATAAAAGGCCAATATGCTTTCTACAGAGCCAAAGGTTTGTATGAAGCCTGAAGACCACACACCAGACAGAAATTATTTAACAAAGATTCACACATTATTTGAATTGCACAGCTTGAAGAAACATAAATGTGGCATCTTTCTGATTTCGTGTAAATAACAAGAATCAGGCTATTACAAGAGTTTCTAGGAATGTGAAAGAAGGAGAATGAAAGATGTCTGATAGATTTCCAAAAGATGTAAGCATGTGTACACTTAAAGAAAAAATGGACAAAGCATTTAGAAGTAATTCTAAAAATCACCAGGAAAAGTGTCACAAAAGAAATGCAGAAAAAAGTTTCACTAAATGATGTTTACCAGTACTCCTTTACCCTCCTCAGGATTTGGGTATTTTACTGTTGGAAATTCTGGATCAGGGTTTTTCTGCTCAGGAACAGCAAATGGAGGGCTAAAGTCAAATGCCTTAAAGGCTGATTGCACAAATTCATGGCCTACACCGTGCACAGAGGTATGGACAAATTTCAGCTTTGTCTCCTTGTTTATGTTCCTGAAATTAAGTACATCAATGGTATTAAATTTACATAAGCTGGTCTATTGTAAAGTACAAATGCATGTGACATATTACCATATTTCATTGCATAATAGTCGCACCCCCATTTTGTGTGTGGCAAAACTGGTATTTTTGTGTTCATCACATAACAGTCACAGAGTTGTTTAGGGCTGGTTCTCCTTCCTTCTTTCTCTGAAGGCAAGGCAGTTTAAAAACTATGAAATGGAGGCCTCTGGAATTTGGATTTTCCTCCTTTCTCCAAAGAGCTCCATTTCAGATTTTGTAACTGCCTTGCTTTTGGAGAAAGAAGGTAATTTTTTTAATTATAGATTTTTTTAAAAGAGGCATGCCCCAAACATTCTTGTCATTCAGTGCAAGCAACATGTTCTAGCAATGTTGTGCAATTATAACCCTAAAGCTTAGGCAGAAAGAAAAACCCACACAAAACATGACAACCACATAGAACAAGCCTTCCTCATGTTGTGGTAACCCCCAACCATAAAAATTATTTTCATTGCTACTTCATAACTGTAATTTGAGTACTGGTGGGGTCGGGGGGGGGGCATTGATTTTGTCATTTGGGAGTTGTAGTTGCTGAGATTTATAGTTCACATACAATCAGAGAGCATTCTGAACTCCACCAACAATGGAATTGAACAAAACTTGGCACGCAGAACTCCCATGACTAACAGAAAATACTGGAAATACTGGAAAGGTTTGGTGGACGTTGACCTTGAGTTTTGGAGTTGTAGTTCACATACATACAGAGAGCACTGTGGATTCAAACAATGATGGATCTGGACCAAACTTGGCATGAATACTCAATTTGCCCAGATGTGAACACTGGTGGAGTTTGGGGAAAATAGACCTTCACCTACAATCAAAGAGCATTCTGAACTCCACCAACGAAAGAATTGGGCCAAACTTCCCACACAGAACCCGCATGACCAACAGAAAATACTGTATATTCTGATGGTCTTTGCCGACCCCTCTGGCACCCCCTCACAATCCCCCCAGGGGTCCCAACTCCCAGGTTGAGAAACGCTGACATAGAAGTTCTTGCATGAATGTTGTTCTGTTCTATGCTGGCAGTACTAACAGCATTCCCACTGAGATTCTATGGGACAAGGTGAAGAATGTCAACATATGAATAAGATGAAACACTCAGTCCAAAACTCTTTGAGTTTTCTTTTCCCAAGTATTTTCCCCCCACAGTGAGAAAGTAAAATTGATTCACCAAAGGAACATCCTCGCAACAACCTCACTGTGGTTAATCTTTACACAGTTAAGATTTTATGACATACTTTTATTAATATCTTTGTCTCATAGAGATGTGGGCTTGTTGGGAAGAGCACATTTGTGTCTGCTACTCATTTCTTCTTGTTGGCTCCTCTTGTTTGCTTAATATAATTAATGTAACGTTTTACTTTTTTCCTCACATTCCACAACAGCACAAGTTTAAACCTTGCCTTTCCTCCAGTGATCAGAAGCAATCTCCATCGACCTTTGGGGGAACCTGCTTTCAATTCTTCTTTTAGTTTTAAATATTTTGTAATAAAATTTAATCATAGAGATTCTGTTGGGATATTATTCTCTTGTAAATTTACCTATGAAAGCAGTGTTTCTGTATGTCTTTGAAGTAGTCCTTGTTAATAGATGCATACGGATCATGGAGAAGAGGACTCTTATCAATCAGGCTGTCATCCCAGGCTTGAGGCCATGGCTCTAGGTTTTCCTCAATGGCTTGTGCAATTCCTTTATCATGAGGAGCAATAATCTGAGAACCATTGTTCCAATAAACCTAAGAACATGGAAGATATAAGAAGAGATTTCTTTCATTAGTGAAAACTTGCATTGAATTAATGATATTACAATCTGTGGCTATAACCTGGTCAACAAAATCAAATTATAAATCAACAAAACACAAATTTCCTTCTGGCTAGCTTGGCTGATGCAATTAAGACTCAATCATTATATTTAGAAGTAGAATATAATCCCCTTGAAAAACATATGCAGGAAAATACCTTGTATCCATTATCTTGCTTGGGATTATGAGATGCAGTAACCATAATTCCAGCAGAAAGCTTCAGATGAGTCACTGTATAGGGCTGTGGAAAATCATCAAAATAGTTAAATTAAAATGCAAGACAGCTGAATGGAAAAATGCCCTACTTTTTCAAGGTTTTTTTTTAAAATCCCAAACCCCATAATTGCTACCAGAGTACAAAGTAATATACCTGTAGTCATCAGGGTTAGAAAGAGATAACAGAAATCCTTGCTTAAATAATATCTTCTCCCTCTTAAATACAATGGTATTTCCATTGTAATTTCATCAAAAACAGAAGTTTTTCAAAGAATTGTATGACATTCTTCTTTCAATTTGCAGAAAAAGTACAACATTGAGTTGAGAAAGAGTGGGAAAAATTCCCATTTAGCTGATACTTTTGATATACATTTAAATAAATAATTCAGTAAGTTTTATCCTTACAACACAACTGTGAAGGATGTAAAACTGAGAAATAATTATTGATACTGGGATGGGCAATTAGATTTTCCACTAAAGTCTATGTGGTCCAAGTAAAGAACTCAAGCCACCAGCATCAGTGGTGAGCAATCTTTGCAATAGTGGTGAGCAATCATGGAAACTATACTGGACTGCAGTTTCCATCATCCTTCAACATTAATCTGCTGGCTAGGGAGATGCAGGGTAACATTTGGAATGCCACAGGTTTCCTACCTCACCGGGAAAATGTATCCCTATCCCATAGATTTTAAATAGTTTAAAATCTTTTAGCTGTTTAAGAGATCATAGAATTGTCATCTATAACAGTAGTTGAATGTCTGCTTGATGAATTGCAGTTATTTACTGCACCAAAGACATAATCAGATGACTTCAGCTTAACCCTATTACAGATACATCTGTCTATACTGCAATACTTGTGTTGAGATCATCATTTATCATAATCCTAAAATAATTTAAAGGTCCAATACGACACAGAGTGGAAGCAAAGAGCACAAAAATCTATTGTATCTAAGGAGTCTGCAGATGACTACTTTAAAACAATCAGTTCACAATAGTTGAAAAATTAACTATGAGATCATCATGTCATTTACACAGATGAAACTTTACTGAGCTCTGTTTGTTTTATGACCACTAAAACAATAAATAGGTAATATAACTGAGATAAAATATAAACTTACCACGAAAGGAGTTGGTGTTATACCAGAAAAAAGGTACACAGGAACACCTTGACTGATGAATGTTGTTGCAGCAAGTCTTGCAAATCTGTTGGTATGGGCCCGGGAGGAGGCGGGGGGGGGGGGGGGGGGGGGGGGGGGGGGAGAGAGAGATCAAAATTCAAAATTTAAACCATTCATAACTTTATCAAGCACTACATGAGACCAGGGTTATCAGGAACGTAAGGTTACAAGGCACGGAGCTCTTGCAGGGAAATTTCACGGGGGAAGTTAGTATCACTGCCATGTAGCGGGAAGCCAGCAGAAGCGAACAAGCAGTGCCAATCATCAGTAGCTCGCTGACTGACATTGTGAAGGTTAGAAATGAGCGTCCTCATTCCATTTCTCTCCAAGTGCAAAGTTTGCACTTTAATACACAACCTAAATGCTAAGGACAGGAACACCATTGCGATTCAACACGAAATCGTTTCAGTTTATGAAGAGGACATAAAGTCAAGACAGCATGTGACAAAATAGGTGCAGAATATATTGTGAGACCATGAAGAAAACAAACATCATGGGATGCTGACAGCGGGAGTCTGTCTCCTTCATGACAATGCACATCCGCACACTGCTCATGCAACACAAGAGTTGTTGACTTCATTTGGTTGGGATCACAGACCTGATCTTGCACCCATTGACTATCATCTGTTCACTAAATTGAAAAGTGGTGGAAATCACTTTGCCGACAATGCCGAGGTGAAAATCGAAAAAACTCATCTCACAGATGACAAAATGTATTGAACTAAATGGTGATAATGTGGAAAAATAATGTAATGCCTATGCTACAACACATGTAAGTTTTATTAAAATATATTCATTCTTTGTATTTTTTAAAAAAACCTTGTAACCTTACTTTCCAGATAAACGTCGTAATTCTAATTTAGTTGTCATTCAGGGCATCCTAATATGCGTTCTTTCCTCAACATAAAGATGTATCTCCATTTGTGCTAGAAAAAGCCTATATTTCAAAAGGCATGAAGGGTGATATAACTGTGTTCTCCATGAGAACTGCACAGATTAGATTACATACACATAACAAACTCCTTCAAAGTTTGTGTACCACAAGAAAATATATTCTAGTACCTTACATAGATGAATAAATCCTTAATAAAATAAACCATTAATAAAAGTATGAATAATGTACCAGTCTTAGCCTTTTTAATTGTTCTGACACATTCCTTCCCATGCCCTAACAAATAAAAAGCATAAAAGGCATGGAGAACAGGCAGGATTTATTTTACATATATGTGTTATTGGGATAATTTTATGCTTATGTTGTTGTTACTGTTATTTTTGCTTATGTTGTGACTCTGTATGTGCTGGTGTTGATACTTGGAAACCGCCCTGAGTCTTCGGGAAGGTAGAACGGTATTTAAATAAAGTTTTTATTATTATTTTATTTATGAGCCCATGTATAAAGCAAGGCTACATCTGACTGCTAATTCAATTCAAACTGGCTGTGTAGGCAGGATCTTTAAAAAAATCAAGAAGAGTAATTAAAGGGAACCCCATGACGAAGAAACTAGACAGGTTACTGCAAGTAGAATCATCATGGAAAATACCTATTCATGAATATGTTCTCGTGTGAAAATGCACAGAAGGAATTCATAGAAAATTATGAACTATTTCAAGCACTAGAAGAAACACAAGTTATCAGCAGGCCTAATATGCTGATAAACTTTTGGAAAAATACTGGAACTCAAAAGCAGAACATATGCACAAAGATTGGCTTACAAAGATGTGTGAATTAGTTGAAATGAACAAGCTGATGATGTTGATCTAAGGAGCTTGAGCTGATGCAGTCTATCCAATGCAAATTTCTGAATCAATGCTCCAAATAAGTCAGAGGAACAGGCTTAAAAACCAAGACATTAAGATTTCCCCCCTTAGGCTGTGCAGTCATATGAGGATGGTAGCTATAGATTATGTTGTATTCATTGTAGTTTCTTTTTACATTAAGAAAGTACTTGTATCTTTTTGTTTTGGTGGCTAAGGACAGTCTTGTGACTGTGGATTTTGTCTACTGTTTTATATACTGGGTTGTTTGCAGTTTTGTTGAATAAAAATTTTAAAAACAGAACATACGCTTTGTGCCTTGAAGGTTCAAGGTTTGATCACTAGTATCTTCCAGTAGGCGAAGTTAAACTCTGAAAAGCCTATGTAGACAGTTACGTGAGCTAGAAGTGGCTTAGGGCTCATCTACCCTGACCAATTTCTTGGTATATAACTGGATCATTCCTTGCAGGGGGTTATACACTGCAGAGGGCTGATTTCGGTTAACCTAAGTTAGGGGAAAGGCCACATCCTGCCCCATGATTTTCCCTTAGCAAGATCAGTTGGGCTGGTTCTCAAGTGGAACCAATTGCAACTTTCAATGCTATCCTGCATCCCTCAGACTCAGGCTGCTCAAGGATTACGAGGTGGAAGTTCCATCACCCCCTACTCTCCTGTGTAGCAGTGGTACCCAGACACAACAGCACAATTATACTGATTGCAATTAGATGTTTTATTTTAGAAACTCTAAAATATTTATAGGGCATAGGAAAGAATCTCAATGCATTTTTAACAAAACAAACAGTTTAAAGTGTACGGTAATCATGCCAAAACACCTCAAGGTAATTTACAGTAAAATCAAACATTGCTAAGACACAATAAATAGGCCTGAAGGATAGGGAATACAACTTAAGATCAATGTACCAACTCAGAGGACCAAACATTCTCTGAAATAAATTTTACTTAATTTGGAAAGAATTTTCAAAAAATAGTTTAGTATTTTCACAAAATATTTTTCACAAAATGTTTTAAGTGTTGGGAAACTATGATAAGGAGCATCTTCACCGTTCAGAACATATGATGCACAATATTAACACATGGTATTTTTATATGGAAGAGTAAATTCGTATAAGTAATTTAAACGTTGGCCTAGGATCCTGGAAACAAGGGTTCCAAGCTGTGCTCAGCCATGGAAACCCACTGGATTAGCTTGGACAAATCACACACTCTCAGCCTGAGAGGAAGGCAAAGGGAAATCCTATATAAACAAATCTTGCAGGGGGAAACCCCATTATAGGTTAATCTTAAGGCTGCTATAATTCAAAACAACTTGTAGGCACAAAATAATATTCTTTTGTGTAGTAAATAACATTTTTATGTGGAAAACAATACATGTTTAAGCACTGGAAACTGTGAACTGTGCTGTTTAATAGGTAAAAAAGCGCTGTTATCGGTAAAAAAAGTGTAAAATTTGTGCAGATTAAGTCCAAATTACTGCCTATTCTTTGCAGGAAATGCATATGTGCCAATAATATTTGAGGTCTTTTCTTAGGAAACATTTTTAGTACATTTATAAATGGACTGTACAAACTAAGTAGAAAGTTATTAGCTTTTCTGAATAAATTGGCCTGACCAGAGAAGCAATAAGAAGTTTCCCAGTTCAGAACCGAAAGCAGATGTATTTCCTTCTTGCCAAAGAAAAAGTCTCTTCTCTTCTTCCACAAAATCTCTGGCAGCCAGGGGGCAGCAAAGTAACATTTGGAAGCAAACTGGAAAGATTTCAGGTTGTAAGATTTTAACTTTCACAAAATCTTTGGAAAATTACATCAATCACACGTAATTTCATTAAAATAAGCACTGATTCAGCTTCTAAATTGATTTAGTATGCCTTGATCTGTTTAAATTCTTACTCTATCTGGCCAATGTTCCCTATCCATTAGTAGTGTGCATTAGACTGCTGTCTTCATAACCCAAATGAGAAAAAGAAAAATAACTATAATGGCCCACCTGTAAATCTTAATTTGTTATGTTCTGACCTGCAGAAGTGAATGATTTTGAATGTTTCTTGATACTTGGCAAAACTGTAGTGATTTTAAACACAGTTTAAATGATTTTTTAAAGTATGTTTAAAACCACTGCAGTTTTGCGAAGTATCAAGAAACTTTTTAAACCATTCACTTCTGCAGATCAGAACAAAAATTATTTGTGAAAAGTTTGGATTTCCTGAAAAAAAGTCTTTTGTGCATAACTTCTCAATAACAGCAACAATTTGTATCTTTCCTTTTAAAAATGGCAGACAAATACATTATCAATTAAACACTGCAAAGCGATCAACTATACCTTTTGCTGCTGCCTCCACTTGAAGAATGAGCCCGAGCATCATAGCTAATCACAACTCCTTTTTTCTTTAGGTCACTGAAACTCTTTTCAAGATACCTACAAAATCCCTAGAAACAAAACAGGTTTTACAAGTTTTGTAAGGATGCCACATCATTTCAAAATATCTTATTTAGAAGGAAAAAAAGAAAGAGGAAAGAAGGACTTGCAAAACTAGGAAATGATCATGCACTCAAATGAAGAGCCATGGGAGAGTTTGGTTTAAAAATACAGCATGAAAGGAGCATACCCCCATCATACACTTGTCGACTTTATTGTACTTTTTCATTGATGGTCTTTATTATGAAAAATAAATCAATTTTGTCAGGTTTGAAAAGTAGTGTGTAAAATACATGTTGCAAATACAGATATGCATGCAGTGAAACTGTCACATTTTATTTTTCTCCTTTCTCACCAAATAAAAGAAAAACCTAAGGGGAAATACTGCAAATAGTTGAACTCTCTAATTGGCAGAGACCACCAAAAAACACCAAAAAACAGTTTTCATTAGTAACACTCTTATACCTCTTAGTTTTAACAGAGCCTTGCAGTGGAATATACAGTCTGCAGTGTCAATGCAGTATATTAGTGCATTTTCTGTCAAAGCTACAGGGCCATTATGTTATTGTGCTGATAGATCAGTGTAATATTTATAATTGAGTCTCCTTCTTTTTTAGATATACAAGACATGAAAAGGTTATCACCGAAGAAATCTTGATTAGTGGTATTCTTCCTTTAGGTGAATCACTACTATAGAAACCAATTCATATTTGTATATCTGGACTTTTGCTTATTTCTTTGGCAGTCTCTGGGTGCCATTGCTAAAGTGCAACTTGGGGGGAGGGCTCCTTTTTCCTCCCCTCTTTGAGTCATGAGGGTCCCTTGCAAACATCCACAATGGTGCTTGGGTTCAGTCAGGGGTTCTGGGGCTGCCATGACTATGGCTACCGGGCCATCAATGTAAGACTAGCTGTCCAGCAGGGTCAAATTTGGTACAGGTCTGCTGCAGGGATGGAGGTAGGCAGTGAAGCTACCACTCTGCACCAGCCCCTAGGTTTCCCGCCTATATATATGCACACACAGTCTATTGAGACACTCTACACCAGTCTGAAAAGACTGAATTCATTTTTGTATCCTATTGATGGAATACTGCAAAGAGGCACATACATGTCTAGGCTTGACAAACATGAAGCATCTATATGATCCATACACAGACAAAGGACACTATGTAAATAATAACAATTTTTATTATTATATTTATAAGTAGTTCAATTTTCTAGCAGATAGGAACAGTACTGCAGCTTAACTATAGAGCTTCATACACTGCTTGTTCCTTCCATAAATAATGTAGATAGATTAAGCAGCTTCTACGAGACCTGTCCCTATAAGTATTCTATTATATTTTATTAATTTAGTTTTTGTACTAATCCACATTGCTTACTTTCTACAAATGTCTTTTGATGTTCCTATTGGGTTATAATGCCTCTGCATTATACAACATATGCCTCATTAAGAATCAATTCATATTTTTCATGGAAGACTTAGCTTCTAGATTAATAATAGTAATAGTAATAGTAATAATAATAATAATAATAATTTTATTTCTTACCCACCTCTCCTTGTGGTTCGAGGCAGGTTACAGAATAAAAATACCACAAATACACCTATTAAAATGTATTTCTATAAAATACGTACTAAAATACACAAAACAGAGATTAAACAAAAGGCACATGTTTAAAATTCATGTTTAAAAGTATGTTTAAAATGCTCTTTCCTTTTAGTTTACAAACTGAAGAATTTGTAAATTACAGTCATTTTCAAGAATAATTTAATTGTTCCAAATAGAATCTAATGAGATTTTTCTAATAAAAAAAATCAAACACTGAAAACTTGCTTCAGTAACACAAAGTAAGTGCTGATAAGCCAGTTGAAGAAAAAATATGTTAAGTCCTCAATCTTCTACCACCTCAAATTCCAAGGAAATTTTACTGTATTATTTCAGTTTTAAATCATGGCAAGGTAAAGTAAGCGATATGACATTAGGTCTCTCTGACAATGAAAAAATACATTCAACTTTCTGTCATTCACTATCATTACTCCAAAAATAGAGATACACGAGTATTAAAGGTACATTCACTTAGATCTGGTACCTGAGTGGTCTGGATAATAGTCAAATCATTCATGTGAGATGTTCCTGCTCCCATGGCTGCTCGGAGTCCTGCGGTCCCAAATTCCATCCGTGAACCAAAACATTTTTGGAGCTCCTCTTTGTTTCCACTTGCAACAAGCTGCTTTACTATTTCTGAGGTTTTAGGATTCTGTAAAATATTTCAAATAAAATTTGTTTTCTATCTAGAATTCAAAAAGGCCCTTGTGCAACAATGCAGCATATGTAAATATGGTATATAATGACCAGTAAAAAAACAGAAACATTTCTGAAAGCTTACTGTCCACTTCCACTGCCAATGTACCCCCAGAAGATAAAGCTGGAAAAGAACATTTATTTATTGTTTATTTATTTACTATTTATTTATTTACTATATGCTGCCTTTCTCACTCCAAAGGGGACTCAGAGTGGCTTAGAAATTATGGCAAAAATTCAATGCTGCACCATACATACAACAATAAGCATACCATATCTAATTACAAAACAGTTCAAACATACCAACAGTTAAAAAAATATAAATACTGTAAAACAGATTAAAAACACACACATAGTGCTGAGTCTTGATTTTCCATACTACTTGGTTTTCCAATAGTCATTATTCAAAATGCTAGATTGAGATCAAATTCCGTATTACCCTACTTCCCGAATGCTCGTACAAAGCTAAGTCTTTAACTTTTTCCTGAAGACCAGGAGGGATGGGTCCAGTCTGATGTCACTGGGGAGGGAGTTCCCAACCGCGGGGCCACCACTGAGAAGGCCCTGTCTCTTGTCCTCACCAGTCGCACTTGTGAAAAGGCTGGGACTGAGAGCAGGGCCTCCTCAGCAGATCTTAAAGCTCTAGTTCGCTCATTAAGAAAGATAAGTTTAGACAGCTAAGTTGGACCAGAACCGTTAAGGGCTTTATAGGTCAAAGCCAGCACTTTGAATTGAGCCCGGTAGCAAACTGGCAGCCAGTGGAGCTGACGTAAAATGGGGTTGTATGCATTTAACAGTCTGGGCCTGTATGACACTTTTGTCTGCACAAAACATTGGATTTTGTACAAATTACATTTTTGTGGAAAGTGCCTTGTGCTTTGTATATATACAATATATTTTGAGAGCATACACATTTTTTCCTAAATACAATTTTTATACAAATGATTATTTTGCAAAATTCTCAAAGTGCAAGATAGGAAATAAAAATGTGTGCAATTCTTATAACATATTGAGATATCTTTCTCACTGAGAATTATAAAACTTAACAAACAAAATAACAACAACCAAAACCATCATAAAATACCCAAATCCTGTTAAACACACTAATAAAAATAAAAATATTAAAAACCCATTTCATTATAGCTCCATCAGCAGAGGTTCAATAAACTAATGGCCAGGATTACAAAATAAACTAAAGGGCTGGGCATAGGATTGAGCAAACAGTGTATAACAGGGCTGAGGAAGTGGATGAAGTGCAAGAGTACTATCTGGCTATTTAGGGACGGGGCCTAGGGACTAATCATTCTCAAAAATTTGCTGGAACATCCAGGTTCTCAGACCCCTACGAAAGAACAATGGTGTGGGGGCTTGCCTAATTTTCCTGGGGAGGGTGTTCCAAAGATAGGGGGCCAACACTGAGAAGGCCATCTCCCTCCTCCCCACTAACCATGCTTGTGTTTTCTGAGACTAGCCATGTTTGACTTGTCCAAGGTCACCAAGGTTTTTATGGCTGAGCAGGGATGTGAAACTTGAATTCCAAAACTCTAATCACTATATCAAGCTTACACATTCTTAAACCAATACAAATTAAAAACAACACAAAACCATTAGAGGTATGTCTTCAGTAATTACAAACAATTTCTTGATAAGTTTAGAAAGAGAGACAGTAAAGAATATCGAAAATTGTAGTTTTTGAAAAAAGTCATCATACAAAGAAAAGATTGTGATACACACTTGCAAAAATGCAGCTTGCATTTCTAATCTGTCATCGTGAGTGCTTTATAAAGAAATAATTTGACACATGCACAAAAACAGCTGAACATCCAACCACTATTAGCAGAGTGCTCTACAAAAGAAAAGAGAAAAGATCCACAGTACTTTGAATTATTATTTGTAATGGTTAAAGGCCAGAGAAATGGTTAGCCAAGTGAGCGGAAGGGAGTGGGGTGGGTAGTCAACCCAAAATGGTGAGATGACTTTCTGTTAATTTGTACATGAGCCACTTGAATATCCTATTCAATATTGTGTACTGTGAGGGAAAGGAGTAAGGTGTGATACTAACATTGGTTTAAAAAAAAGAACGCCCCAAGTATTTTGCATGCATTATCTAAATCATTCTAAAAATGAAGACTAAGACAGGTGAATAAATGCTATTCAACATACATGTCAGACTGAGTGAAGGAACTGAAGCTGAAAATGACCTCTGTATTTAGTAAGCCGGTGTCCAAAAACTAGTTTGACATTCACTAGAGGTATGGTTTCTCAACAATAGTCTCACTGTTATAAAATGTTTTCCCTGAACAGTTTACTTAGCCTCATCTGTTACTTCCTTTAAGGAGGACAGAAAAGCATTTGTGAAATGGGATCTGAGACAACCTGAAGTCAAACATTTATCTTTATCCCTTTATCATCCCTTTATTTTTGCTCACTGCTGATTTTTAAAACAGATTTTATTAACCCCCCCCCCCCCTGGCTGTTTTAGCATAAATATATATACAAAACATACAAAGGTTGAGCATCTCTTACCTCGAATTCTGGAATCTATAATATTTATAGGTATCTGAGAAAGTGTTTCCTTTGCTTTCTGAAACTTTGTTATTTAAAAAATTGTATAAAATCATATTCAGGCTATTGTATGACGTGTATATGAAACATAAATGAGTATTGTGTTTAGAGAGTTGGGTAGCACCTGCAAAATATCTCTTTATGTATAAGAATACAAATTCCAAAATTGGAAAAAAATTCAAAGCCAAAAATACTTCGAATCCCAAGCATTTCAGATATGGGATACTCAACCTGTACACACATATACCTGCTACTATTACATTAGTTTTGCTTTGATGTAAGATTTGGAGCAAATACTTCCAGGTAGTACTTTTAAGAACTAAAATGAGCTGGTGATGCACTGAACAGTGCAATGCATAGTCAGAAAAAATGACATCCATTAATTATGCACTGTTAGTCCCATAATCCTACTCTGTCCCACTCCTGGTATCCAAACCTTTTGCCATTAACACAAGATCACTGCTATCAATAAGATAGCAGTTGTTTTAGATAAAGTCTGCATCAAGCTTATTTTGTAGTCTTTTACTAAATCCTGAAACAATGAAACTAGCTTTCCCCCAGAATGATGTTCTAAGCAGGTGCTCCGTGAACCTAAGGATTAAAATCTGTATGTGTAACAACTTGGAAACTTCGGTTCTTGTTTTGTAATAGTACAGATAGCACTACACTGCTTATCAGAACATTGATCTAGGATAAATTTACTTTTCGTAACCATCTTCTGATAGGAAATGTGAGCACTTTGAACTGCTCGCTGTGTACATGAAACACAGATTTAGAACGGGATATTTAATTCCACAATTCATAGCATAAAGATTTACTTGTGCTTTGCACTCAGATCTTCAGGAGATGAATGACACATTACAAAAGAATGAATAAAATTTAATGGCCGTGACAAAGCAGAATAAGTAAAAATGAAGTGAGTTCAATTATTTGGAAGATATACCCTATACTACCGTTGTGCAGATAGATTATAAATGTTTTAAATTAATGCATGTCAATAAAATTCTCTTACACAAAACAAACATAATAAAAGAACAGAGGCGAAAATCACTGAAGTTTAAGACAGTCTGAAAAAGTCAATGATTCCGATTCATCTTTGATTGCAGAGTTTGAATAAAAAGCCTCTAGACTAGAGAATGCTGAGACCAAGTTTGGTGGCCCTCAATGTTTGTAGAACACAGTATGTTTGCGGCGTATGTTTGCAGAGTACAGTAAATAAGATAGTTTGTACTGCAACCCATTCATCACATAATATCCGGATGAACTGGGCATGTGAAGGAAATAATATGATTTGTATTGAAATCCATTCATCGCATAACATAGTTAGGATGAACTGGGCATGTGACCCAGCGTATGCTGTACAACCACAATCTTATCTCTTCCCTAGTGATAAAAGATACACTGGACATTGAAAGAATACAATAATACCAGTCAGAAGGGTAAATATTCTTGCTTAGTTCTTAATAGAAGAACTGTGGTAAAACGATCAGTAAACAGTACTGAGCAAGATTTTTGTTTCAAGGACTTGTCTGTTTTAACCCATACTAGTAAACTAAATCTATGGTCCTCTGTCCCAAACTCCACTATTAGCAACTCATCCCGAATTATTTCAATAGCACCCATTAAGTAATCTCCATAAAATAGAAGGTACAAATAATTATTGAGGGATAATAGCCAGTACGGGACTCCAGGAGCCCAGAATTTGAAATGAGTCTCAGTCATGGTATCCCAGCAATTGTGGGCAAGTCACAGTCTCTCAGCCTTAGAGAAAGGCAACAGCAAACCTCAACTGAACAGGCTGCTGTGAGTTTTCTGGGCTGTACTGCCACATTCCAGAAGCATTCTCTTCTGATGTTTCGCCCACATATATGGCAGGTATCCTTAGAGTTTGTGAGGTCTGTTGGAAACTAGGCAAGTGGGGTTTATATATCTGTGGAATGTCCAGGGTGGGAGAAAGAACGATTGTATGTTTGAGGTAAGTGTGAATGCTGCAATTGGCCACCTTGATTAGCACTGAATGGCCTTGCAGCTTCAAAGTCTGTCTGCCTGGGGGAATCCTTGAAAAATTCTTGCTCAGAAAATCTTGTGATAGAGTTATCTTAAGGTGGCTGTTAAGTCCGAAATGACTTGAAGGTGCAGAATGACGAAAACATCTGATTTTAGGGCAGGTACTTTACTACTATACAATTTCACCTAGTAGTATAAGTCACTTTACTAAACATAACTTCTATTTTCAGTTTGTTCATAAAGAGGACTACTGCTGATACAGTTAAGAGGCACCTGAGTGCTACCAAAGTAGAAAAATAAATAGGTAAAGTAAGGTAAAGGTTTTCCCTTGACATTAAGTCCAGTCGTGTCCGACTCTGAGGTGTGGTGCTCATTTCCATTTCTAAGCCAAAGAGCCGGTGTTGTCCATAGACACCTCCAAGTCATGTGGCCGGCATGACTGCATGGAGCACTGTTACCTTCCCGCCAGAGCAGTACCTATTGATCTACTCACATTTGCATGTTTTCGAACTTCTAAGTTGGCAGAAGCTGGGGCAAACAGGAAGCTCACGCCACTCCCCGGATTCGAACCTGCAACCTTTCGGTCAACAAACTCAGCAGCTCCAGCAGTTTAACCCACTGCACCACTGGGGGCTCCCAAAAAATAAATACCAAGCCTAAATTATTGGGTTAAAGAGTGCTGCTCCTATTAAGATACTCAAGCATGAGGAACAAACATTGGAGGTAGGGAAGGAAGTGGCATATGCTGAAATAATTGTATTAATTTCAACATTTAGGTCATTCTAGCAATTATCCACCCACTCCATGCAAGATGTTTCCCCATCACCATGTGACTTTCATATGAACGTTCAGTTAAAGATCTGGGGTGTGTTTCAAACAAAGAACCCCTTGAAATCACATTGAAAAGCTGGTTGGAAGTGATCTAATTCAAAGTCTCACTAGAGTTGACCTACTGAAAGATAGTAGGTCATTCAGAGTAAATACTACTGATTCAATGGGTTTGGTCTAGGAGTGCAACTGATTTTAGGCCTGGAGCTCCACTGTCTTCAGATGGATCCAGCATATAAAACTCAAAATGTCTTTCAGTCTATTGAGGGAGAGCTTTTCTGTCATGTGGGCAGTTGGCCTGCAGGTAAAAGACAGTGACACATTTCTGCAGACTCCGGGATGTTATCAGCTCCAATAGGGATCCAAGGAGAGTGGGAGGGAGACAAAAAAAAAAAAGGATCGGTCTCTTCTATGCCACAGCCAGGTCTCTTAACACACACAGGACGGACTGCTCTGCTTTTGGAGGGCTACCAACTCAGGATAGCTTTGGTGCTCATGGCTCACTTAATGTGGTTTATGCCCTCATGTCAGTGGAGTGGTGACTCTGCTCCAAATGTCAAGCACAATTATAACTCAAAGGAGCTAATCAAGGTGCTGAAATCTTAAACAACCAAATAATGAAAAAAATGGCCAGACAAAGTGTGGAGTCTTATTAAATGCTTATAGCTGAATCGAGTAGTACAGGGCTACAAGTCCCAGACTCCATCTGCACTGCCATATACAATCCAGATAATCTGATCTGAACTAGATTATTAACTGTAGTTTAACCTAAACCCACACTGTATTTCTCCATGGGGAGAAAAACTACAGAAAAGGAGAATCCACCTGAACATTAGGAAGAACTCCCTAACTTCGAGAGCTGTTCAGCAGTGGAATTCTCTGCTCTGGAGTGTGGCGGAGGCTCCTTCTTTGGAGGCTTTTAAACAGAGGCTGGATGGCCACCTGTCACGGGTGCTTTGAATGCAATTTTCCTGCTACATGGCAGGGGGTTGGACTGGATGGCGCATGAGGTCTCGTCCAACTCTATAATTCTATAAATTAAAGTAAATCATCTGGGGAGACCCTGCTCTCAATCCTGCCTTCCTCGCAGATGTGTATGGTGGGGACGAGAGACAGGGCCTTCTCAGTGGTGGCCCCTCAGCTATGGAACGCTCTCCCCAGGGATACAAGATCAGCTCCCTCCCTTCTAACATTTTGCAAAATGGTTAAGACCTGGCTCTTTGAGCAAGCTTTTTCTACTGGAGCATAATTAGACGTAAACGAATATATGGAATGACTGACAATGCAACTGGACAACCATTTTAGTAAGGAGACACTGAGGATCTTGTTTTCTACAGATATATTTTCTTTTTATATTACATTTTAAATGTTGAATTGTTTTTATAATTCTTTTAACTGTATTTTGATATTTGTTATGGCATCGAATCGCTGCCGACTGTGAATCGCCTTGAGTCGCCTCTGGCTGAGAAAGGCATTATACAAATGGGGCAAATAAATAATATAATGCAATTCAAAGCAGATAATGTGGACTATCTGCTTGCTCAATCTGGATTATAGAGCAGTGTAGAAGGGGCTTCAGCAGTGATCCCCAACATCTGTGAGCCTCTGGGGCCCCTTCTACACTGCCCGACATCCCAGGATCTGATCCCAGATTATCATTTTTAAACTGGATTGTATGAGTCTCCACTGCCAGATAACCTGGGATAAGCATTTAATCTGTTATCAGATCCTGGGATACTGGGTAGTGTAGATCTAGCCTGGGAGGATCTTTCCCTGTTTCCCAAACTCTGGACTTCGGCTCCCAGAATCCCCCTTCCTTGGCCAAGGCAGATAAGGCTTCTGGGAATCGAAGTGCAAAACACTTGGTGGACAAGACTTCAGGAAACACTGCCCTAGGCCCCTTCCACACAACTATACAAAATCCACAATGAACTGGATTTTATTTATTTATTTGCTATATTTGTATACCGCCCTTCTCAACCCTCAGGTGACTCAGGGCGGTTTATATAGCAGTTAACTGTTCTCTATATAAATAAAAATGTAATGTTTGTTTATGGGATTAACACAACTCAAAAACCACTGGACGAATTGACACCAAATTTGGACACAATACACCTATCAGGCCAACAAGTGACCAGCACTCATAAAAACACTGAAAAACACAGCAGAAGAGACTTAAAAAGCAAAAAAACAAAAAAACCCCCATTGTACAGAAAGCAGCATACCAGCTTCATTGTGTCATAATACTATCAAACACCTACGACTTCAAGCTTTTACATATCTATATAAATAAAAATGTAATGTTCGTTTGTGGGATTAACAGAACTCAAAAACCACTGGATGAATTGACACCAAATTTGGACACAAGACACCTAACAACCCAATGTATGTCCTTCACTCAAAACATTGATTTTGTCATTTGGGAGTTGTAGTTGCTGGGATTTATAGTTCACCTACAATCAAAGAGCATTCTGAACCCCACCAATTTTTTTTTTTATCGTGTCAGGAGTGACTCCTGCTGTGAGAGAATTGGCCGTCTGCAAGGACATTGCCCAGAGGACGCCTGGATGATTTTGATGTTTTATCATCCTTGTGGGAGGCTTCTCTCATGTCCTGCATGAGGAGCTGGAGCTGATAGAGGGAGCTCATCCGCCTCTCCCCGGATTCGAACCTGCGACCTGTCGGTCTTCAGTCCTGCCGGCACAGGGGTTTAACCCACTGCTCCACCGGGGGCTCCCGGTGTAAGGATAAGGACAGATTTTTGTTAGATACTAGTTCCATTTGATGTGGCATTCTCTCCTGACGTTTCGCCTGCATCTATGGCAAGCATCCCCAGAGTTAAACCTCTGAGGGCTTGCCATAGATGCAGGCGAAACGTCAGGAGAAATGCCTCTAGAACATGGCTCTATAGCCCGAAAAAACCCACAAGAACCTAGTGATTCCAGCCATTGATTGACTTTGACAGAAAATACTATAAGGGTTTGGTGGGCAGTGTCCTTTGGTTTTGGAGTTGTAGTTCACCTACATCCAAAGATCACTGTGGACTCAAACAATGATGGATCTGGACCAAACTCTACACGAATACTCAATATGCCCAAATGTGAACACTGGTGGAGTTTGGGGAAAATAGAATCTTGACATTTGGGAGTTGTAGTTGCTGGGATTTGTAGTTCACCTACAATCACGGAGCATTCTGAACCTGACCAACGATAGAATTGGGCCAAACCTCCCACACAGAACCCCCTTGACCACCAGAGTGGGCCACAGCACAGTAGTTTATATAGCAGCGTGGCCTCAAATAACCCAGTTCAAAGCAAATGTTGTGAAGGAACTGCCTTCACAATATTCTGGGATATATGGCTGTGTGGAAGGGCCCCTAGACTCAAAACTGTGCGGTCAGGTGGCAATGGTGTGGACACTGGTGAAGGAGGAGGGCCTTCGTGGCTGCAGCCTGCGTGGCGAACTCCACCTGCCCACGCGCCCTCTTCTGCGCAGGCGCAGTCGCCTCGGGTCATCAGTGAGGGGGATAAGACACCGGCCTGTCTCCTCACAGCAGCGCGGATGAGAAGGATCCAGGCGTTGCGTGTGCTCAGCAACACCCCTTCGCTCCACACAAACGCTCTCAGGCGAGGAAGGCCCGCCAATGAAGGGGGTAAAGAGGGCAGGGCGGCGAGAGCCTCTCTTTTCCGCTCCCTACGCGGTCCCTTTAAATCCCCCCTCCCGCGGCCTCTCACCTTGTCCCAGAGCAGCCACTGAGACGCCGCCGCTTGGGCCCGCTTGATCCCCTCCGCTGACGTAGCCATGCCTTCCTTCTGCAACTGGACAGCGGCCTCACTGAGCGGCGCGTGCAAGTCCCCTTCTGAGAGAGGCGCCTCGCGCTGGCCGGCAAACTGTTGGCCCCGCCCCTCTGCTGTTGGGCTGCCTCTATTGGTCAACCCTCATCACCCCTCTCATGATGTTCCTTGCTGCCCTCCTCCCCGCCCCTCGTGACGTCACTACGCTACTGTACGTTCTGATTGGTTGCTGTGGGAATTGACAAAGAACCAAACCAAAACTGAAATTTACCAAAGGAGACTCTCAAGGGAGGGTGACAGGGCAATGGCTGACTGTAAAAGTTTTGTGCAGTGTTTCAATAGCTTGTCAATATCTCTCTTCAATTGTGGTGCCCAGAATTGGACACAGTATTCCAGGTGTGGTCTAACTAAGATACAGGGAAGTCATATTGCCTCTCTATTCTGCTTTGGTTAGACCACACCTGGAATACTGTGTCTAATTCTGGGCACCACAACTGAAGAGAGATATTGACAAGGGTTTTTTTTTTTGTCGTGTCAGGAGCAACTTGAGAACCTGCAAGTGGCTTCTGGTGTGAGAGAACTGGCCATCTGCATGGACATTGCCCAGGGGTCGTCCGAATGATTTGATGTTTTTATCATCCTTGTGGTAGGCTTCTCTCATGTCCCCGCATGAGGAGCTGCAGTTGATAGAGGGAGCTCATCCGCCTCTCCCCGGATTTGAACCTGCGACCTGTCGGTCTTCAGTCCTGCCAACACAGGGGTTTAACCCACTATGCCACCGGGGGCTCCATTGACAAGCGGGAATGTGTCCAGAGGAGGGCAACTAAAATGATCAAGGGTCTGGAGCAGCTTAAAGAGCTGGGCATGTTTAGCCGGAAGAAGAGAAGGCTGAGAGGAGACATGATAACCATGTATAAATACATGAGAGGAAGTCATAAGGAGGAGGGAGCAAGCTTGTTTTCTGCTGCCCTGGAGACTAGGACACGGAACAATGGCTTCAAACTACAAGAAAGGAGATTTCATCTGAACAAGATGAAGAACTTCCTGACTATGAGAGCCGTTCAGCAGTGGAACTCTCTGCCCCAGAGTGTGATGGGGGCTTCTTCTTTGGAAGCTTTTAAACAGAGGCTGGATGACCATCTGTGGGGGGTGCTTTGAATGCAATTTTCCTCTGTTTTTTGGCAGAGGGTTGAACTGGATGGCCCATGAGGTCTCTTCCAACTATGATTCTATGATTCTACTGCTTTTCATTAAAAAAATTATCCAGCTTACATATACTCAAGGACATACTTTGCGTTTCCCCCCTACACTGACAGTATTTGTATCTGCAACAGGGCTGAAGGCTGATCTTGGGCCTCCTCCCAAAATCCACTTCATCAATCAGTAATTTTCCTTCTGTTTGAGCTGGCAGAATATCAAGGTTCAAAGCTTGGAGCTGTTTCTAATTTGGGAGACAGCCAGAAACTCTGTTCTCTCTCCCTTCAGTGGCTCCCTTTGACCTTGGAAGCTGGCCTATGGAGAAACATTATTACATTATGTCAAAGTCCACCTTGAGACATCTGGAGCAACTATTTTGGCATTTTTTCACGCCTCATACTTTCTGTGACAGTCGAAATGTACGTGGCCTTATGAAATGGATGTCAGGTCATAATAAATTAGTAGTAACCTTGGCACGGAATTTCAGAAAAACATCTATTTCTGTGCTCCTCCAGATGTTTTGGACTTCAGTTCCCACAATTTCTAATAGCTGCTAAGATGGTTGGGATTTCTAAAAGCTGAAGTCCAAAATATCTGGAAGAGCACAGTGTGAGAAGCACTGATATAGATGATGATCCCAGAGGCGTTGGAGGACAGTTCGGATATGACTTTCATGCACCTTCAGATTTGGAGAGTCAGGGCCCTTCCAGGCAGGTCCTATATCCCAGGATCTGATTCCAGGTTGTGTGCTTTAAACTGGATTATATGAGTCAGCACTGCCAGATAATCTGGGATAAACAGAAAACCTGGGATCAGATCCTGGGATATAGGGCCTGTCTGGAAATGCCCTAAATCAAAAATTCATCCAAATAAATGGTGACAAAGTGGTCCAAGTAGTCTTGAAAGATCATTTTCAAAATGGTGAAATACTACAGAGACCTTAAAGAGCCAAAAGGCATGGAAATGTTAAACATTGATGGAGCAAGCACGCTTCCCTGAGGCAGGGTTCTTCTGTTTTCGCCATCTGCTTCTCTGACCCTGAAACTCAACAAAAAAAGCTCCGGTTTTGTAGCAGATTTCCTATGAAGCAGATGAGGTGATAATTCTTTGTGATATTAACCACTTTGAGTCGCCTGAGGGCTGAGAAAAGTGGTATAGAAATAAAGAAAAAAAATATTGTACAGCTTTCTCAGGGGGAGGTGATGATTTACAGCATCATAAACTGCTGACAGGTCTATGAAGACAGCTCCTGTAATCTGCTGTAATCTGCACCAAAAGTGATTTGCAGTATGATCTGTGGATAAATCAACCCAATTTTTTGGATTGATATTTTGACTAAAATTTCTATATGTATTCCTGAGTACGTAGGGTATTTCGATTAGATTGGAGAAAATAGGAGCAATGGATCATATAGGAAGGGCCCTTATTAAGCACCCACAACAACCTTTAGGAGATGTGTTCAGGGGGGTGGAGGGAGTCTCTTCAACACCCTAGGAAGAAACTATCAATTGAAAGGCAAAGAAACTCTCTAAAACAAATATCTATGTTGGAATGCAATAAACAAACTAGATCTTCATTTCTGACTAAATAGATCTACAACTGTATGTTGAATGCACAATTCAATTGTTAAGAAGGACTACATCAGGATTCTAACAGGCTCTGAAAGAAGAAATCTCCATCCATCTCCTGAATCTGAACAGATGAATCTGAAAATAACAGTGATTTGCTAGAGTAACAAATATTATATAGTCAAAACACTGTTCACAAGCTAAATGTACACAAAATACTAATGGTACCTGTTCATATAATAGGTTTCCCTTATTATATGAAATAGCTTCTTTTCAAGATTTGGAAAGCTTTTCTTTTTATACAAATGTACACAGATGACAGAAATCCAGTATTTTGGTAATGCAATTTATGAATGTGGACAACATGCTAATTTTACGGAAAAGACATTTCTAGGTGCATTGAGATCAATACTTTTGTTTGGTATTTTAGTATAACACAAACATGATAACAGTTACTCTGTTAATGTGAACTCAACATGTCAGGAATTCTAGCTGCCTCTTGTTGCTATTTCAGAAACCTGATAACATCAAGAGATAGATTTTTTCTACTGTCTGAACTATAGTATTAGAATTCTGACATCATAACATACATTTAATTCCAGAGCAATTCTGACATCATAATATACATTTAATTCTGGAGCCATTCTTTCTGCTTTCAGTGTGACTCTTCCCCAGAAAAGTACTAGGGAAGGATGATTTGGCTGCAATCCTAACATAACTGAGTGACTGAAAAATCAGGACTAAACAAGGTAAATGATACCTTATCTTTGCTGCTTTAATATTATAAAACGTATTGGATTATGCATTACCCTCAGATTTTGGGTATGATTAGAAATGTGGATAAGAAATTTTAATTAATACTAAAGCAAACACTTTGCTGAGTTTATTTTGTCCCCCTTTTCTTGTGATTTAAACTGATATTATGTGTAGGACATTGCCTGGGGTTCGGAGCCTTCTCGGAAACACTTCAAAATCGCTTTGCTGGGGCAAGTGTTTCTTGGGCACTTGGTTATATGTGGAAGTCAACAGTGACCTAATGGAAGCTGGTACTCCAGAATGTGTCAGTTTCCAGCAGCCATCCAAAAAGAATCTGAAACGTCGGATAGTTGTACCATGTCTGCAGCGTTTCAAAGATGAGTATGAAAAAGTATCAAAACATTACATGTCAAACAGAATACGGACTACAAAGTACAGACTATGGACTTTCATTCCAAGAAATTTATATGAACAATTTCACAGGTACTGTGTCAACTAGGAGTGATGGGAGTTGCCGTTCCTAATATTTGAGAGCCATGGTCTTCCACCCCTCCATTATAACTCCCAATGAGATAGTTTTATCAATATTCCAAGAGCAATGTGGTTACCAAACTATTTTGGAGTCAAATGACTGAAGAATTACCCTTAGATGAATATAAAGAGGAGGGAAGCATCACAAGGAAATGCAAAGACAATTTACTTAATTAATTAATAGTAATAATGGTAGGGACAGCATTGATAAAACAAAGGATCATAAAGCAGCATATTAAAAACATAGATTAAATTACAAATGCTAATAAAATGCAAATTTAAAATTCACTGTTTAAAAACTTACCCTTTTGTTCTCTCCTAAATACTAACTGAAAATCCTACTTTATTCAAGGGAGGAAAGGCTTAGTCCTTATACCTGGCTGAACCTCTCATCTACATCTCAGCCAGCAAGTACAGTCCCTTTCTAAGATATTCCCATTTACTGGGCTAAACCAATATATCATAAGGATTACACAATGAGAAGCCAGACTTCAGCCAGTCAAAGCTCCTTACTCTTACTGGGATTTGCAATTTGGTGAGGAGCAGCACTTTTGGGTAGAGAAGACTTAAGGTCTTGCAAAACTACAACTCCCATGATTCCATAACATTGACCCGTGGCTATTAACATGGTGTAAAAATACATCAATTCTTCAGTATAAACACATCCATAAATGGGTTCCATAGTGTCAATTATTATAATTTTTATTATACATTTTCTGATCTGACTGTTATGAAATATTTTCTGATTTTAGTCTCATGGAATCTTAATATGCATAGAACTACTTTGTTCCTAAATGGCACCTTATCTTATTGGATAATACAATTTAAATAGATTTGATTACGTTCTACTGTCAGAGATGCATTATATCCCATTTACGTGTTTTATTTCCACACCCAGTGGCTGATACCCCAGATCCTGTGTGTGTTCTTTTGCTTTGTTCTAGAGCTGCCAATCTATACTTCCTATTTATAGTTGTGTTAAATTGGATCCCAGTCGTGGAAGCCTTTCGAAAAGAAATCACAATGATCCCTCTCCTTGTGGTCCTCACAATTATTGCAGTGAAAGATGGCCTGGAGGATTACACAAAATACAAACTGGATAAAATGATAAACAACTTTGTCACCCATGTCTACAATGGGTAAGTACACCAGAAACAGCTTTTCTCTTTGGCAAAGTTAGTCCTTTTGAAATCAAATCATGGTCTTACTGCAGCCTAACAGTCTGGATTTGCCAGGATTTAAAAATCTGTCAAATGTTTCTTATTCATGGCCAAGCATCTGATCTCATTTCAGCTCCCAAGATTTCCTAGGACTGATTATTTAGATTCATTCTTGCAAACTCCGTTTCAGTCTTGTCTGTGGATAATCTCCATTGAGGGATTGGTAAAACTGGAGTAAAACTGGATCAGATTTCCTGGACTACTGGATTTCTTCAGATGTCATTGACCATTGTCTATTTCTAGGCCAATAGTACGTAAACATGAGTCCTTTAGTCATGGTCCCCACAAGGGCCATGTTTTGTCTTTGTGATGTATCACCGTTACTATTCTTCTTTGTGCTGATGGACAACACATACCTGTTTTGATACATTTAAAAAGAAAATAATTTGCTGTTGGATGTATATCTTAAATATGTAAGGACAATTCAAAATGTACTTCACTTGTTATTGGTGCTTTAAAAAAGTAAATGACTCCTCATTTGTATTCCAGGCTAATATCAAAGAATCCAATTTTGTTTATGAAAAACCTAATCAGCACAATCTTGGTTTTATTTTGCTTTTCCTAAGAAGAGAAGCTGGTGGGTTTTAATGATTTTATTGGTATAATTGAAAGGGGCTTTGAATGAAATTAACAGCAAAAGAGAAATATACCCTTTATCTGTAGAGAAGGAGCAACACGGAAGAAAATGTTTTTAAGAAACAAGATGTGTCATGTAGAGGTCATACAAAGTTCAAACTCACATAGGAAGCTGTGTTGTGGCTAAACCAAAGGTTGTGGTTAAGCGCAGAGTCTGCAGGTACAAGAAGGTACTTTCCATCAAAAGGTCAAGGGAGAGGGGCTGGAAAGAGAGTACTTTCCATGACCTATTACTTGAGTATAAAAGTCAGCAGAAATAGAGGAGGGCACGGTAGTCACTTGAAGGGTAGCATCTGCATATGCTGCCAGGCTGTCCGTCTTCTTCATGAAGAAACTAAAATAAACCTTGTTTTTTGATCTTTTTTGGGACTGTCTCCTTTCTTACGTGCTCCCATGATGTGGACCTAAGAAAACCCAATTTAGGGTCTCTAACATAATTATTGATAATTAAAACGTTTTCTTTTTATTAATCATTTTAAAAAATATGCCCTTTTTTCAGAGCGGATGGTGAATTTGTGGACAAGTTCTGGAAGGATGTTAAGGTTGGTGATTTTATCCAGCTGTCGTGTAATGAGGAAATTCCTGCCGACATGGTACTGTTGTATTCTAGTGATGGAGATGGGCTTTGTCACATCGAAACCTCAAGCCTTGATGGAGAGACTAATCTAAAAGAGAAGCTGATCGTGAAAGGATTTGTACAACAGGTATATATTTGCCTTAGTTTTAAATATTGGTTGAGGAAACCATGTGGCTATTATTAATATTTATTTATTTATTTGTTTATTTATTTACTTCATTTGTTTACTGCTTCTCTCACCCCAGTGAGGGACACAAAGCAGTTTCCAACTTAATTATGTCAAAATGTAATACCTCACATATACATGGGGTGCTTCACATACCTAACATAAGGATAGCATACAACTATCAATTAAATCATAAAACGCAACATCATTTAACATTAAAACATGGAATTAAAAACATATCAATATAAACATTAAAATCACACAATCCTACAATTGTAGTCAAGGCCGTTCCAAATATCATGTCTATTGCACATAATCCGTGATCATTCCTTATACTGCTTATTGCCCAAAGGCTTGGTCCCATAGACAAGTTTTTATTTTTCTTCTGAAGGCCAGGAGGGAGGTCCCTGATCTAATTCCGTTGGGGAGGGAGTTCCATAGCCGAGGACTCACCACTAAGAAAGCCCTGTCTCTCATCCCCAACAATTGCACTTGCGAGGGAGGTGGAACCATGAGCAGGGTCTCCCCAGATGATCTTAATCTCCAAGATGGTTCATAGAGAGAGACATGTTCAGACAGGTAAACTGGGCTTTAGCTTTATGGGCTAAAGCCAGCACTTTGAATTGTGCTCGGTAGCAGAATGGCAGCCAGTGGAGCTGGCATAATGGGGGGGTGGGGTGTATGCTCCCTGTACCCGGCTACAGTGAGTAATTTGGCTGCCACCCATTGGACCAACTGAAACTTTCAACAGTTTTCAAAGGCAACCCTACACAAAGCTGGTTAATCAGAGCATCTCTTTGATTTTTAATATTGATCTTTGAACCTGATTTGAACCTCCTGTTATCTCACTCAGGTCTATGAGACACACTCATGCACACACACACCATATGCATAGAAAAAGTGCTTTTATGTGAAGGTGAGGTGAGAGAAGTTAAGCCAAACCTATTTACTTTCCAAAGCCCCTTTTGCCTTATATGTTGTTCCAGAAAGTGCCTTGAATTTGGTGAAAGATAGCATTTATCCTATTCAGTACAACACAAAATTAGCAGTATTATTAGGAATTGATTTCATGTTTTAAAAAATTAGCTGACTGCTGATTCATTTGTGACTGCAAGTCATTTCCTACTTGCAATCTTAATGCAAACCTGTAATGGGGATTTCTTTGTAAGATTTATTCAGGGAATGTCTACCTTTGCCTTCCTCTGAGACTGAGAGAACGTGACATGTCCAAAGTTACCCAATGGGTGTCTGTGTCAGAGTAGGGATTTGAACTCTGTCTTCAGAGTTGTAGTCCAAAACCCTAACTGCTACCTCTGACTGTGACATCCACTATGCATAACATCAATTACATAGATGGGAAATTGATTAAGGGAAACTGCCTCTCCAGACCATATCTTGGGGTTATTTCTCTCCCCCCAAAAAAGGCTTATGGGACAGGGGAAGGGTTTTCAGGGACTATAAGATGTGGTTGGAGACTACACATTCTCTGCTCCCAGTCTATTTGATCACCTGTGGTATAAATTAAACAACTAAGCAGATAGTTAAGACCAGCATTTCTCAACCTAGAAGTCAAGACCCCTGGGGGGTGGTGGTCGCAAGAACGGTGTCAGGGGGTCACCGAAGACAATCAGAAAACAGTATTTTCTGTTGATCATAGGGGTTCTGTGTAGGAAGTTTGGCCCAATTCTATTGTTGGTACGGTTCAGAATGCTCTTTGATGGTAGGTGAACTATAAATCCCAGCAACTACAACTCCCAAATAACAAAATCAATCCCCCCCAACCCACCAGTATTCAAATTTGGGCCTATCAGGTATTTGTGCCAAATTTGATCCAGTGAATGAAAATATATCCAGCATATCAGATAGTTACATTACGATGCATAACAATAGGAACATTACAGTTGTGAAGTAGAAATGAAAATAATTTTATGGTCGGGGGTCAACACAACATGGGGAATTATATTAAGGGGTCATGGCATTAGAAAGGATGAGAGCCACTGCTCTAGATACAATTACATGCCCATGTGTTACATTTTCCATAAGTATATAGTTAAAAGAGATAAAAATGCGTGGGGTCTTCTAATTGGACAAAATAACCCATCTGCTCATTTGATGGACCCAGAATGATGTTTTGAGGGCTGCACAAGGGTTCCAGGAGAATGGAGCAGGAATCACTGCACAGTCATAGAAACCCACTAGATGACCTTGGCAAGTCGTGCACTTCCAACCTGCTCCATTCCATAAATTTAATGTATTTTTCTCCTCCTCCTCTTTCCTTGTGCTCATGTAGACCATTGAAATGGATCCAGAATCATTTTCGTACAAAATTGAATGTGAAGTACCCAATAGTGACCTCAGCTGTTTCCGAGGCTTTATGTAAGTGACTAGTAATATGTGCCGAATAATTGGGAAACTATAAAGCTTTGATAGCATGCATATATTTCTCTTAATGAATATAATGGTCAGATAAAAATTACAGCTATGTTTGTGTTATATCTTGCAGACAGCATACCAGTACGGAACGAGTGGGGCTGAGTAAGGATAACTTGCTGATGCGAGGATGCACTGTCAGAAATACAGACATTGTAGTGGGAATTGTGGTGTATGCAGGTCAGCACTCACTGATGAAACAGTGCTGGGTAGCACAATCTGAGAATCAGAGAAAGGAGAGCCACTCTTTGTAATCCTGACAAAGCCTCAAGAAGTGGCGAGAAGTATTTTTGAACTGTTACAGTTATCCCTTTGTAATGCCAGATTAGAATGAAGATTCATTAAATTTCAGGGAGGCCTTGCTTCAAAATCTAACACAGGGAAAGGTTTTTAATAGTTGCTTCTTTAGTTTCATTAGATAGAATTTTTGAATGTGTATAACATATATTTTTGGTTTTAACACCCAACAGTTTAAAAAAAATTTGCAGCACTTTTTCATTTAAAAGCCAAAACCTGGTATTGCAGTGCCAACATAACAGAACTTTCTCACACCCCCACGGCCCTTGACACTAACTAGAAACTGGCCTTGGAGAAATTGTCCACATGCTTGTGAATTTCAGTGGCTTCTCTGTGTAGTCCAAAATGATAGTTGCTACACCGTATACCATTCAGCTGTGGACAAGTCTATATAGGGACTACCAAATACAGCACCCAATCAAGGAACATGAAAAACATGAATCAAGGAACATGAAAGACACAGCAGACTCAGTCAACCTGAGAAATCAGTCATAGCAGAGCACCTGATGAACCAACCTGGACGCAGCATATTATTTGAGAACACAGAAATGCTGCACCACTCTAACAACCACCATGTCAGACTACACAGAGAAGCCATTGAAATCCACAAGCATGTGGACAGTTTCAACAGAAAGGCGGAAACAATGAAAATGAACAAAATCTGGCTATCAGTATTAAAAAAAACCCTCTATAATCAGGACAGTAAAGAACAATTTATTTATTTATTTGTCATATACTGTCTTTCTCAGCTCAAACGCGACTCAAAGCAGTTTATAGTCGGGACAAAGCAATGCCCCCAACAACATAAATTACCATTAAAAATAATTGACATTAATATAAAACCATATAAAACCAGTAAAAACGTAAGTAATTCCAGACTTGGAAAACAAAGTAATTCCAGACTCAGCATCTCATTACTAAAAACAGAAAACAAAGTAATTCCAGACTCAAAAAACAAAGTAATCCCAAAGAAGAAACAATCAGGGCCAGCTAACACCTCCCAACAAAGGACAGAAAGCAGCCAGACTTTATTTATTATTTACTAGCTGTCCCCTGCCACACATTGCTGTGGCCCACTCTGGTGGTCATGGGGGTTCTGTGTGGGAGGTTTGGCCCAATTCTATCGTTGGTGGGGTTCAGAATGCTCTTTGATTGTAGGTGAACTACAAATCCCAGCAACTACAACTCCCAAATGTCAAGATTCTATTTTCCCCAAACTCCACCAGTGTTCACATTTGGGCATATTGAGTATTCTTATAGAGTTTGGTCCAGATCCATCATTGTTTGAGTCCACAGTGCTCTCTGGATGTAGGTGAACTACAACTCCAAAACCAAAGGACACTGCCCACCAAACCCTTCCAGTATTTTCTGTTGGTCATGGGAGAACTGTGTGCCAAGTTTGGTTCAATTCCATCGTTGGTGGGGTTCAGAACGCTCTTTGGTTGGAGGTGAACTATAAATCCCAGCAACTACAACTCCCAAATGTCAAGGTCTATTTTCTCCAAACTCCACCAGTGTTCGGATTTGGGCATATTGAGTATTAGTGCCATGTTTGGTCCATATATATCATTGTTTGAGTCCACAGTGCTCTCTGGATGTAGATGAACTACAATTCCAAAACCAAAGGACACTGCCCACCAAACCCAGTATTTTCTGTTGGTAATGGGAGAACTATGTGCCAAGTTTGGTTCAATGCCATCGTTGGTTTGGTTCAGAATGCTCTTTGATTGTAGGTGAACTATAAATCCCACCAACTACAACTCCCGAATGACAAAATCATTTTTTTTAGTGAAGGACATACATTGGGTTGTTAGGTGTCTTGTGTCCAAATTTGGTTTCAATTTGTCCAGTGGTTTTTGAGTTCTGTTAATCCCACAAACGAACATTACATTTTTATTTATATAGATTTAAAGCATTTATATTCTGCCCTTCTCACCCTATTCATTACTAATCAAGGTGGCCAATTGCAACATTCACACTTGCCTCCAACAGACAAGAGTTCTTTCTCTCACCCTGGACATTCCGCAGTTATATAAACCCCATTTTCCTAGTTTCCAACAGACCTCACAACCTCTGAGGATGCCTGCCATAGATGTGGGCAAAACGTCAGGAGAGAATGCTTCTGGAACATGTCCATATAGTCTGAAAAACTCACAGCAACCCAGTGATTCAGGCCATGAAAGCCTTCAACAACAAAGCAGATCTGTTTTTTTTTAACATTCATGTATTTTTAAAAAAAGCCTCATGGGGAATTTTTAGATATCTTTGTATAACATCTAATAAACATTTCTATAGTCACTAGGGAATCCATTCATGCATTCAGTCGCTCTCTCTGGCAAGTATGATTAGATCAACTCTGTGTTTTTCTCACACTTCTCCTGATTCTTTCTAATTGGCAACATCACAATTAGTCCAAAGGACAGTTTTGGGTTATTAGGCTTTTCTCCACCCATTTTCAATCCACCTGGCCAAGAATCTGAGAAACAAATTACACAGAATTGAAATATATGGCACGAGTACTAAGTATGCATCTTATTCTTCTTTGGCTTGGAGGAAAATGTGTTAGTTCTTTAGACTGGATGTTTTACATGCAATGTGTTTTGTTTGTGAAAAGGTCATGAAACCAAAGCCATGTTAAACAACACAGGAGGTCGTTATAAACGAAGTAAATTAGAAAAGAAGCTGAACGGAGATATCATCGGGTGTGTTGTGCTTCTGATTGTGATGTGCTCTGTAATAGCTGTGGGTAAGTTGTGGGTATTCTGCTTTCTGTGACAGCCTTTTATCATTGTACAGAATAGCACTACCACTTCTAAGTTATTTTCTCGTCATTTTCAAAGGTCGTGGAATTTGGTTGAGCGGACATCTTGAACCATCTATCTATAGTAGTGGAAGACAGTTTGAGCCAGCCTGGGGAGGCTTTTTAATGTTTTGGACTATGATCATTTTACTTCAGGTAATTTTTAACTTGAGCAGAAAATATACTCTGCCCACCCCCAGTTGTGTTTAGACTGACATCTCCATCAGCTTTAGCCAGTTGACAATGAGGGAGAATAGAAGCTGAAGCTTAATCCAGACAAAACAGAGGTCCTCCTGGTCAGTCATGAGGTCAATCGGGGTATAGGGTGGCAACCTGTGCTCAATGGGGTTATATACAGGTCTGCAGTCTGGGTGTCCTTCTGAACTCAGCGCTAATGCTTGATGCTCAGGTTTTGGCAGTGGTTGGGAGGGCTTTTGCACCATTAAAACTTGTGCGCCAACTGCGACCATACCTTGAAAAGCCTGACCTGGCAATGGTGGTCTACGCCTTGGTGATATCTAGATTGGATTACTGCGATGCACTCTACGTAGGACTGCCTTTTGAAGACTGCCTGAAAACTGCAACTTGTGCAAATGTCAGCAGACAGGTTGTTAACTGGAGCGAGGTACAAGGGACGAGACAATGCCTCTACTGAAGCAGCTCCACTGGCTGCTGATAAGTTTCTGGCCCCAATTCAAAGTCAGATTACTACCTATACCAAGATCTGGCAGGGAGGCCCTCCTCTCGATTCCACCTCTATCACAAGCATGGTTGGTGGGGATGAGAGAGGGCCTTCTTAGTGGTGACCCTCTGGCTCTGGAACTCTCTCCCCAGGGAGATTAATTAGCCCCCATCCTGTCCACCTTCTGGAAAGACTTGAAGACTTGGATGTTCCAATGCACCTTTGAATAATGGTTTAGCTACTGATTAAGTCTTAAGAGATTAGAGAGATGGGCCAAAACTAACAAAATGAAGTTCAACAGTGACAAATGCAAGATACTCCACTTAGGCAGAAAAAATGAAATGCAAAGATACAGAATGGGGGACACGTGGCTCGAGGGCAGTACGTGTGAAAAAGATCTTGGAGTCTTCGTGGACAACAAGTTAAAGATGAGCCAACAATGTGATGCGGCGGCAAAAAAAGCCAATGGGATTTTGGCCTGCATCAATAGGAGTATAGTGTCTAGGTCTAAGGAAGTCATGCTACCCCTCTATTCAGCCTTGGTTAGACCACACCTGGAATATAGTGTCCAATTCTGGGCATCACAATTGAAGAGAGATATTGACAAGCTGGAATGTGTCCAGAGGAGTGCAACTAAAATGATCAAAGGACTGGAGAACAAGCCCTATGAGGAGCAGCTTAAAGAGCTGGGCATGTTTAGCCTGAAGAAGAGAAGGCTGAGAGAAGACATGATAGCTATGTATAAATACGTGAGGGGAAGTCATAGGGAGGAGGGAGCAAGCTTGTTTTCTATTGCCCTGGAGACCAGGATGCAATGGAACAATGGCTTTAAACTACAAGAAAGGAGATTCCATCTGAACATTAGGAAGAACTTCCTGACTGTGAGAGCCGTTCAGCAGTGGAACTCTCTGCCCCAGAAAGTGGTTGAGGCGCCTTCTTTGGAAGCTTTTAAACAGAGGCTGGATGTCCATCTGTCGGGGGTGCTTTGAATGAAATTTTCCTACTTCTTGGCAAGGGGTTGGACTGGATGGCCCATGAGGTTACTTCCAACTCTATGATTCTATAAGTCTGCCTAGCCCTAACCTTTTGGTTGGATTCTAGCACTTTATTCTCAGCTCTGGCCCTACAGTTTGTGTTTGCACAAGCCCTTGTCCTGCCTTATTAGTCTCAAATCTGCATATGCCCACTTCTCTCGGCTACTGGTTGTTTGAGGCTTGATTTATGTTTTATGATGTCTTACATTTTATTGGTTTTACTGTTCTAATATATTTTACTGTATAAGTTTTAAATTGTGTTCTTGTAACTTTGTTTATATTAGGCTTGGTCCTCATGAGAGCTGCCCTGAGTCCCTTCAGGGAGATGGAGGCAAGATACAAGAATAAAGTTATTATGGAAGTTGTAGCCTAACAATATGTAGTAATTTCTGTTTTGTTAAATGTGGAATAAAGTGAACTTGTGGGATGTGTTCCAGATCTTTCTTAGTACAAATGAGAAAAGGGTCTGCCCTAAAGAGAAACCAATGCCAAACCTGCTTGTTTTTTTTATTTTGACAGGTCTTGATCCCAATTTCTCTCTATGTTTCCATCGAATTGGTCAAATTGGGCCAAATTTATTTTATCCAAAATGACATTGATCTGTACCATGAGCCCACTGACACCAAGATTCAGTGTGGATCTCTGAATGTTGCTGAGAACCTTGGACAGATTGAATACATTTTCTCTGACAAAACTGGCACCCTCACTGAGAACAAAATGGTTTTTCGAAGATGCAGCATTGCAGGGCAAGAGTATGGCCATGAAGAAAATGGTAAGCCTGAGACAACAAGATTAGTAGTTGGTTTTCGGATAGTAACAAGAAAGGAAATGTTTAACTAGGGTCCAACCGTGGACTCAAATGAGAGGAAGACAGATAAGTGACCTTCTGTCATTGACTTTTCCTCTTCCACCTCCACTCAAATAGACTGGACAAAAATTGTTAGAACTGTGCTGGTGTATGACTGTAATAAATGTTTATTTGTTTGTTTGTTATTGCTTAACTGTTATTTGACAGTTTTCCATCACATACTAAGCAAACCTGATCCTGTTCAGCTTCCAAAATGAAATTGTGTCTTTTATATAAAATGGCAAAATTAAGGTTTGCTTTTTGGAGTTTTGAAAAAAATATATTCAAGCCATGGATGGCTGAATCCATGGATGCAGAATTTGTGGATATGGAGAACCAAATATATTTAGGTTGCTTTTTTTGATCTCCTCCTATGCATTTAAAATATGGTTTCATTGACTCAGGAAGGGTGATAGAGAAGAGGAGGAGGAGGAGGAGGAGGAAAAAGAAGAAGAAGAAGCCATTAGAACCAATGCCATCAAAGTCAGAATTAAAAAGTCGATGAGAGATTCCAAATGTAGGCTCTGCAAGGAAGCAGACGAAATGATGGATCACATACTCAGTCGCTGCAATAAGATCACGCAGACTGACTACAAGCAGAGGCACAACACAATTGCTCAGATGATCCATTGGAACTTGTGCCACAAATACCGTCTGCCTGCGACAAAAAACTGGTGGGATCACAAGCCTGAAAAAGTTACAGAAAATGAGCATGTCAAACTATTCTGGGACATCCGAATTCAGACTGACAAGAGTTTGGAATACAATACTCCTGATGTCACAATAGTGGGGGGAAAAACAAGTATGGATCGTTGATGTTTCAATCCCAGGCAACAGCAGGATTGAAGAGAAGCAACTGGAAAATAATCAGCGGTGACAAAATTACCATCTGTCAGCTGCAAAAGGCCACCTACTCAGATCTGCACACATTATTTGCCAATACATCATACAGCCCTTGTTTGTTGTATACTAATCTTGTTATGTATCAAATAATCATAATAAACATAATAATCATAATCATAATAAACATCTTGGTTTAAATAATGCTCTCAAGAGACAAAAATAAGACTTGTTTAAAAGTAACATAGTTGGTTTACTCACAAACTCCATGTATTCAGCATACAGGTTCATTGCATATCCATTCAATTACAGATAGGATTCTTTATCGTGACTTCACACAGTGTGGAGAGAGAACTGCAGCTTATGGCTCCTTCTGTTGCTTTGCATGTTTTCCCTCTTTGGGTTTTTCAAGTGCAATGTATAGCAAGATGCCCGTACATATGGAACACAATTGTATGCTATTTTTGTCTATTTACATCATTTACTTTAAACTGCTAAATCAAAACAAGCCAAGTTTCATGATTAAATAAAATAAATTACATTTTAATATTAAGTCCACTGTACCCGGTAGGTACGGTCTATTTCTACCTCCATACTCTCCTCTGGTAGGTCCATCGCTGTTGCTAGTATTTTGATTGTTTTAGCTCTCAGGTTCTCTTGTGGATCCTCCTGCAAGTTTCTAAGTCTTAATGCATATTCCAGTTCTCCATGTTGGACCCTCTCTAGGTCTTTTGTCATTTTTTCGTTTTTAGCAGCCAGGTCGTCCAGGTTTTTTTGTAGTTTTCTTTGTTCGGTCCCGAGTTTCCTGTTCTCTGTCTTGTTGTCGTTAATTTCGACGAAGGCCTTTGAAATGTCGTTTTTGATTGTAGTAATGTCTTCCTTGAATTCTTTTCTGATTAGTTCGAGTTGCGCCTGTTGCTTTATCTGATTTTCTCTTATAGTCTTTAGTTCTTTCTTATTTTCTTCCTGGTTTTCTACTATTTTCTCTGTTAGTTTTTGGAGCTCCTTCCAGATGTCCTTCATGTTGACTTCTTCCTGACCTGATCCTCTTCTGCCCGTATTTTTGGGGTCCTTTATCTCCTTCTCCATCTTTGTTTTAGGAGTGGTCATTTTCTCTTATTGTTTCTTGCTTGATGTTGCGTGGGTTCTTCTTTATTAGGTTCAGTGTTTTGTTGCCACCCGTCTCTCGCTTCGCGCTTCTAATTTCGTGCCTCGCTTTAGCCTTTTCCACTAATCTGCTTCTTTGTGGTCCCACGCCTCTGTCTAGAGGCCTCGYGGTTTCAGGGTCCTTCCCCTCCCTTCRGATGAATTGCCCCCCTCCCCCTCCCTCCCAGTATAGCACCTGATGGGGGGAGCAGGGGTAAGGTAGGGAGCAAAGAGAGATTATGGGGGAGGTCAGCAGATGTACAAGAGTCCCACGAATGAAGAGAAAAAGGAAAGAAAAGGGAAAAAAGGAAAGTCCTTGAGACTTTGTCAGTCTTTGAAAGAGTCTTTAGGTAGTCCTTCCCTCTGCTTTCTGACTATAAGGGTCTTCCGCYTTGTCGCACCTGCCCCTCCTCCCCTCCCTCCCTCTCTCTCCAATGAGCTGGGGGGGGGGGCCTGGTTAGGTTATAGTGTTCAGTCAAAGTCAAAGTTCCTTCATAGTTTCTTCTTACCTATGAGCTATTTGAAAAAAGAGGCTTACTGTCGCATCTGGTGTCCTGCCATTCTGCAGTTCTCTGGCTCGCTCTTGGCACAGCACTGTCTTTTACACCAAAAGTGACATGCTAGGTGGGGGAGGTTCGACCCTTCCCCTGAGGCTATCCTCTACAGCTTGATGTCTTCCAGGTGAGGGATCGCCGCGTCGGCAGCTTCCACGTCTGATTCCGCGTCTCTGCGTCGGCGTGCGCGCGTGCGTGCGCGACGGCGTGCGTGCGCATGCGCGACGGCGTCCTCCGCGTCGCAGCTGCCCGAGCGTGGAACAGGCATAGGTCACCTTTGCTCCTCCCACGTTTCGGCCCTTGCTTCCTGGTTCCTGGTTCCGGCTCCTCCCTGCGCCGCGCCCCTCCTTGCCTCCGCCGGCTCGCGAGTAGTCCTGGTCCCCACAGGGGAAAGTCTTTGCCCACCTGAGTAAGTCCTTACCCCAAAAGTTAGACCTTGGGGTTTCTGATTTTAACTTCTGTAGTAGCTGTTGTATTACTTGTGCGGCGGTATCGCGCGGCTGCTGTTCCGTTCCTTTTGCTTATTTGCTTGTTCTGCTCCCGAGGAGACTCATGACCAGAGGCTTTACTCCCTTCTTTGTTTGTTTATTCAGTTATCACCCCCCGGTGGTAAATTTCTTCAGAGGTGCCTTCACCCTTTGCTCTGTTGGATACCAAACTTTTCCATTCAGACAGAGTGTCCAATTCGTTCCATTCAGCTCACTTTCTTATAACTTTGTGCTGGCGTCGGATGGTAGTGGGTGCAGACCACAGGTCTGCTTCTCGCGGTGCCGCTCGCGCCCCCCGGGTATCTGCTATGATACCAACTGGGCCCATGCGTGCCCCCCGGTATCAATCCACCGGGAGAGGGGAGCAGAAGACTCTACCCAGCACCCACCAACGCGAGTTAGCTTCACGGTCCGGAGCTCCGCTTCGCTGCGTCCTACGTATGCCAAACAAAACAAGTTAACCAGAGATGTGTTGGTCCGTTTTACACGGAAACATGCTAGAGACCAGGTGCTCAGGAAATCTAACCAGAACCCAATAACCCACGAGGGGAAAAAAATTATTGTACTTAAAGAAATCCCCAAACAGATATTGGACAGACGTAAGAAATATACTTTTTTAACTCAAGAACTAAAAAGACAAAACTGTAAATTCAGATGGGACAGAATGGAAGGTCTTATGACCACTGTTAACGACCGGAGGTACTGGATCAACGATGTTGAGAAGGCCAATGAATTTATGTTACTACTCAAAAACCGCACGAACAACATAAATCCAGAAGCCTATTCCACAATAGGCAATGTGAGAAAAAGAGCTCGCCCAGACTCTCCCTCTAAGGCAGAAGACTCGACGGAAGAAGCACCGAGAACAACTGGGGAATCGAATATCGGTAAGAAGGAGGAGGGAGCAATGGGAGCAATAAACAATCACAATCATGAATGAACGCCAAATAAAATGTTATTCTCTGAATGTAAACGGTTTTAATTCTGTTTGTAAAAGAAAAAGAATTTTTCACAAAATTAATAAAGGTAATTACCATGTTATAGCGCTACAGGAGACCCATATTTGTAATAGACATGTCGCCTACTTAACCCAGAGGAAATTAGGTAAAGAGTTCTACTCAACTTCAGATTCCAAAAAAAGGGGTGTAGTAATCTATGTGAAAGAGGATATTCCGGCCGAATTGAGCTTTAAGGACCAGGAGGGTAGAGTTGTTGCTGTAAAGATCAAATTGGGCAATGAGTCCGTGCTGATTTGTAACCTATATGCCCCAAACGGCCCAAAAACAAAGTTTTTTGACTATCTAAAGGAGAACTTACTGAAGGTAGAATTCGACAGTTTAATAGTTATGGGGGATTTTAATGGCATAATGGACAAGAACATAGACAAATGCCCCAGCAGTAAGAGAAAGAAAGATAACTCCCTTCTCCCAAAAAAGTTCATTTCGCTCATAGAAGAATTCGATCTTTGCGATGTCTGGAGGCATTGCCACCCAGACGAAAAGGAATACACATATTACTCACCTCGACATAGATTATGGACAAGGATCGACATGATCTGGGCCTCCAACTCGATCCTATCCAAGATAGAAAACATACAAACAAATCCGAGAGAACTATCGGACCACTGCTCTCTGGAAATGTACATATTTAAAAAGGCAGATGTCAGAAGGTGGAGACTGAATGATAATCTTCTCAAAACGGAATGGGATATAAAGAAAAACAAAGAACTGATAAGGGATTATTTTGAACAAAACGACACACCCGACATCTCCCCGTTAGTAGTATGGGATACACTTAAAGCGGTGATGAGGGGGTACTTAATTCAGCAAAATGCCATCAAAAAGAAAAAGAAAAATCTGGATATAAAACAATTGGAAAAGAGGATTACGGAACAAGAACAAGTCCTAAAAAGAAACCCGGAAAATATAAAGATAGAGAGGAACTTGAGTTGGCTCAAAAAAAGGAAACAACATTTAGAGATCGAAGCCCTGGAAAAAAATACAAATATATTAAGCAACAAGAATTTGAACATGCCAACAAGCCCGGGAAATGGATGGCAAGGAAAGTAAGAAAGAAAAAAGAAGCACAGCGAATAACGAAAATCAAGAAAGGAGAGTGCTATCTAACAAAGGACAAAGACATAGTTGAAGAATTCCGAGAATACTATTCAACCCTCTATAACAAAGATGATACCCAAGAAACCGAGATCACAAGCTACATAGCGAAGCTGAAGCTAGAAAAGATCACTGAATCTCAGAGAGAGGCCCTAAATAGAAAGATCTCAATTAAGGAAATTACAGAAGCGATAGCAAATATGCCAGCCAACAAAGCTCCAGGCCCTGACGGCTTCTCGGCCTGCTTTTATAAGACTCTGAAGGAGGAACTCGCACCTTACCTTCAAAAAGTACTGAATCTAGCTTTGAGTGAGGGCCAGATCCCAGAAACCTGGAAAGAGGCAGAAATTGTTCTAATCAGGAAAGGAAACACAGAACAATCGGACAAACAGAATTACCGGCCGATATTCTTATTGAACACTGATTACAAGATCTTTGCAACAATCCTCGCAAAGAGATTAAAAAGGTTCTTATCCGACTGGATAGGAGAGGAACAAGCCGGCTTTCTTCCAGGGAGAAGCACGAAGGATAATTTAAGAACCATCATTAATATCATAGAGTACTATGACTTCAACATCCAAACAAAGCTAGCTCTGCTCTCCCTGGACGCCGAAAAAGCTTTCGACAATCTTAGCTGGAAATTTATGAAACTCTTGCTGGAGGAAATAGACATAGGACATGCTTTCAGGAATGCCATCAATGCCATCTACTCAAAACAACAGGCGAAACTTTTGATAAATGCACAATTATCAAAAGCAATAACGATCACGAAAGGTACAAGACAAGGCTGTCCCCTGTCCCTGCTCCTCTTCATCATGGCCCTAGAAACTCTTCTCAAAGCAATTAAAGAAGATAAGAACATCAGAGGCTTGACCGCCAAACAGGACTATAAGATCAGGGCCTACGCAGACGATGTTATCTGCATAATCGATGATCCTATCAACAATATACGGAACTGGCTAGATAAATTAGAAGAATATGGAACGGTATCGGGATTTAAAATCAATAAAAACAAAACCACACTACTAACTAAAAACATTCCAGCCGATATGCAAGAAGAATTGAAAAAACGATCGGGTCTCGCAATCAATAAAAAAATCAAATACCTGGGGATATGGATTACGGCTAAAAATGCCCAGTTACTCACAAATAACTACGAATCTACCTGGAAAAAGGTGAGAGCAGACCTGGCAAAATGGAAATTTCTGAATCTCTCCCTGTTAGGAAGAATAGGTTTAATTAAAATGAACATCTTGCCCAAAATTCTCTATTTATTTCAGAACTTGCCAATAATAAGAAACAACAAAATTTTCGATCAATGGAATAGAGACCTAGCCAAGTTCATTTGGAATGGCAAGAAGCCCAGGATGAAACATCGCATAATGATCGACAAGAAAGAAAGAGGGGGCTTCGGCCTCCCTAGCTTGAAAGCATATTTTGAGGCCTGCACACTAGTCTGGGTAAAGGACTGGATCACCCTGAAAAAAGAAAATATACTAACACTGGAGGGATTTAATCTCAGGGTGGGATGGCATGCGTACCTGTGGTACGACAGGGCCAAAATAGAGGGCAATTTTGGAAACCATTTCGTCAGATCTTCCCTTTTAAAAGTCTGGACAAAATACAAAAAACACTTCTACGAGAAAACTCCACTCTGGCTCTCACCACTCGAGGCGAAGCAAAGGCGCTTACTTGGTTGGCAGCATTGGCCAACCTACAGAGACTTACTTACCAAGAATAAAAAAGACAACTCGTGGAACCTAAAACCACAGGAAGAACTGGCCAAGTCCTTCAAATATCTGACTTGGTTGCAGTACTACCAACTATACGAAACGTACAAACAGGACGTGAAGATAGGTTTTGAAGAAAGAACCACGACCTGGGAAGCTATACTGAAATCAGGGAAAAAAACTATTACGAAGTTCTACAACCAAATACTTACCTGGGAAACAGAGACTGAGGAAATAAAAAATTGTATGGTCCTCTGGGCAAAAAACATCGGCCGCCCAATAAAACTGCATGAGTGGCAGGAGATTTGGCGAAAGAAGTTAAAATACACCTATTCCTCTGCGTTAAGAGAAAATTGGCTGAAAACTTTCCACCGCTGGTACCTAACACTGCACAAGCTGAGCCAAATGTATCCAAATTACCAAAACCTATGCTGGAAGTGTAAGGCCCACCCCGGTACATATTTTCACATGTGGTGGACCTGCCCTAAGGTACAAAAATTCTGGATTGAGCTCCAGGGAGAATCTCAGAAAATACTCAAGAAACGATTCCCCAGAAAACCAGAGTACTTCCTACTAGGGCTGACGGATGAGGATTTCAATCTCAATAATAACGACGATGTCATATGGACATACATCTCCACCGCAGCGAGAATAGTTCTGGCAAGACATTGGAAAGAGGAGCATCTCCCCAACATRGAGGAATGGTTAGATAAGATTTCCGAAGTCAAAGATATGGACAAACTGACGTTCCTTTTGAGATCAAGCTCCGGAGGTCCAGTCAGATCAACAGACTGGACAGCATTTGAAGACTACGAAAGGCAGAGATATGAATGATTTGAACAAACAAAAAGAAGAGACACAGTYATACTGACSCCTAGAAAACAAGGTGCAAAAGAAATCAGGAAAATAAGACTGGGCCTCGGTAGAGAAACCGAGAACACTCTGTAAGGAATCCAAACGGAAGTCGCTCTTAGATTCCCCTCCCATTCCCCCCCCACCTTAAACCTCCTAAGGGCGGGACTAGGGAACACGGTCCCCAAGGGATAAGACAGTCTATTACCCAGATATACGATCTACAGGTTTTCTTGAGCGCTACTAAGGCTCAAACCACAAGGGCTGAGAGATCGACCTGTCCCCAAGGTGGGACACATTAGATCCCAGAAAAGGTACTCACCGGGCGCACTCACAAGAAAACCATCACAAGTAACAACATCCAAGGCACTGCTTCCCCCAGCCTGCCCTTCTTCTTTCCCTTATAGCATCCCCCCCCTCTCCCCACCCCGTCCTGCCTCCCGTTTCAAGATAACCCTTCCCGCCCCCCCTCCCCTATCCCCTCCTTACTCCCTCCCTTCTCAATTTTGCAATTTTGTAATTTTGTAACCTGTCATTTTAAAATCAATAAAGATTATATTTAAAAAAAATTAATATTAAGTCCACGCTCTTTAGTCTTAGCAAGGATATGTATATGAGTGTGTGTTTATGTGTGTGTATGCAATATTCCTGCTTCTTGGCAGGGGGTTGGACTGGATGGCCCATGAGGTCTCTTCCAACTCTTTGATTCTATGGTTCTATGATTCTATGATATGTTGAATCTCTCCATGGGAAAAGATTAGGCAAGTAGTAGATTCTAATGTCTCTTCCGAAGAGAACTGTTGTTTTCTCTCTCTCCTTCCAGCCAAGAGACTAGAGACCTATCAACCAGACTATGAATCAGACCCGGATCAGACCCCGGAAGCATTCTTTGCTTCACGTTGTTCTTTGAAGCGCCCATCTAGAGGAAGAATTGGCCGACAACCAAGCGTAGGCCTGAGTATGAAGTCTATGAGCCGTATGTTTCGCAGTGCCAGTACTATTGGTTCACCAAGTATGAAGCAACTAGCCTTCAGCAGCCCACTTGTAAGAATCCTAGGTCAATCTAACCCAGTGGTTCTCAAAATGTGGGTCCCCAAATGTTTTGGCATTCAACTCCCAGAGATCCTAACAGCTTGTAAACTTGCTGGGATTTCTGGGAGTTCTAGGTCAAAACACCTGGGGACCTACTGGGTGAGAACCACTTTTCTAACCTATAGTTGTATCAAAGCCACTAGCTAAGCCACACATATCTATTTTTCTTTTTTATGCATGCCCTAAAAGAAGGAGGGAAACATTCAGATTTTGTATGACTAACACTTCCAGCCATTTAGAAGCACAGGCAGCTTGTCAGAGCCTACCAGGACTGTGGTTGTTTACAAAATTGTCATAAATCATTTATCCACAACAAGGAATGATGAACTGAATTCAGAATTATTCCCAACTAGAGTGCACTTCAGTCAACACAATTACATCATGCGTGACAAGTCAGTTTCATTTCATATTGTCATTGGGAGTAACACTGAATTTAAACTTTGTTACTGTATAGTTTTTAGCCTTTCACCCTCAATCTGTACACCCTCCAAAACAGAGTCTTTCAGCAACATGGTAGCCTAGATCTTGGAAAACATTGTCTCTTGGTCTGTGAAGCCCATAGACAGCACAATCTCTGGGGATCTAGAGAACTGTAGTCAACTTTTTCAAATTCAACAGAGCTCCTGAACAACCTTTTTTTAAAAAAAATAAAAATTCAGTACATGCCTTTAAACTAGGGGAATCTTACTGTGCCCTTGTTTTTTGTGTACCGACAGGAAACGGATGTTACCCCAGACCAGCGACTTGTAAGGAAATTCTGTCGGATCTCATTCAACCTCTATAAGAGGTCTGAAACAGTTGACCCAACTTCAGAGATAATGCAGATTTCTGAGTTTTTCATTGCTCTAGCAATTTGCAATACAGTTGTTGTTTCAGAATCTGATACAACAGGTACTCAACCCCCTCTAAAGGTAAGTGGGGGAGGAGACGTGAGATGTTCAATAGCCTGTAATAGCCTTGTCTTCTCAAATGCTGTCAGAGAATATACAACACCCCCCCACACACATTTATTAAGCTATCTTTCTCAACTTTTGTTTGAGCTGTCATGTCTGCTTAAAGGAAGAAATCATTGTTTTGGTGGAACAGTGTGGTGCCGTGTGCATGTGTATAACGCAAAGCCAGTAATAGTTAGCCAAAAAGTAGAAACTGGCATGGATATATTCCATTTTTGTAGAGAATGATATTTACCTGGGGTGGCGTGATAACTTCAATGTTAGAGTAGATTTCCCTTCTCTCCCCCCCCCCCCCGCTCAAAATTAATATATATTAAAAATAAGGTAAAGGTAAAGGTTTTTCCCTGACATTAAGTCCAGTCGTGTCTGACTCTGGGGATTGGTGCTCATTTCCATTTCTAAACCAAAGAGTCGGCGTTGTTCATAGATGCCTCCAAGGTCATGTGGCTGGCATGTCTTCATGGAGCACTGTTACCTTTCCCCCAGAGCAGTACCTATTGATCCACTCACATTTACATGTTTTTAAACTGCTAGGTTGGTAGAAGCTGGCCTAATGGCAGGAGCTCCCCAGATTTGAACCTGGGTGAATGACCATAGCCATGTGATTTATAAGGTCTGTAAAGCAAGCAGGCTGAAGCCAGGAAACATATGCTGCAGGGTAACTGTGAGCACATTCCTGAGCCTACTTTTGGGTAGTAAAGGATGTTGCAGGATCCTACTTCTCTAGAGATGATGGAAGATGTTACTATGACTAGCCACTAGTTGAAATGCTGTTGAACACATCTGGCCACTTGTAAGACTTTTTGTTGCTCATATGTGGGAAGAAATACATGACACTCTTTCTTTCTGATCATATGTGATACTCTTTCTTTCTGAACCTGGGCATGTCCTGGTAATGAATTGTAGTCTGGATAGGATTATGGGCTAGATGAAGAAACAGAAATTTAATTCTGACAAGGTGGAGCCACTTTTGTTCTTGTTCCAGAACAAAATTATACAGTCCGTTCTGGACAGGGGTACATTCTCACTGAAGGATCAGTTGGATCACTTTGTTGGACTCCTTGAACCAATTTTGACATAGTTATTTTTTGCCAAGAGATAGCCTTGAGAGACAGTAGTTTGATACACATCCCTGGAACCCTCAAAACCAATTTTTAGCCAAATCTTTGGTTAAAAAAGGTGACTAGATGTGAAATTATGCATATATTACTTCTAAGTCACTGTGATATGTCAATGGGGTCAATGGGCTATGAAAGAAAACTGAGCCCTTCCTTCCTCCCATAGATGCAGTTAGCAACTCTTGTTGTGTCTGAAACTTGTCATTTTCCATACCTAAAAAAAATTATGAACTTCAGCACTTGACTAAGACTTTATGTGTAGCATATATCTATTGGAGCATCACAGGACCAAGTTTGGGTCTTTTTAATGTAAATATTTATTTTAGAATTTACTCACAAAGTAGATCATTATACTCAACAAGGAGCAGCAGTGGTGCAATGGGTTAAACCCTTGTGCCAGCTGAACTGCTGACCTGAAGGTTGCCGATTTGAATCCGCAAGACATAGTGAGCTCCCGTCTGTCAGCTCTGGCTTATGGAGGCATGAAAGAAGCCTCCCAGCAGGATGGTAACAACACAGCTGGGCATCCCCTGGGCAACATCTCTGTAGACAGCCAATTCTCTCACACCAGAACCAGCTTGCAGTATGTTCTCAAGTCACTTCTGACATGATAAAAAATTCATATACTCAAAAAACCTAAGTTTATTGAAAGGTTGCTTCATCTTGTGGCTTCCTCTTCAATTTTAATGTACACTATATATTTTTAAATCTAGAAATTTAAGACAATAATTTAAGTCAAATAACTGGGGTTGACTTATCCATGGATAATGTGAATATTGTGTGTCAATTCTTACTAAAAGAAGGTATGATGCCATTCTCTGACCAGAGTGGGGAAAGGTAAGAGCTTAGCCCATCCCTGGAGAACATAAAAGAAGCATCAATCTTCTTCTCTCTCTGTTGTGGTACTATATCTGGCTTTTTTTTTAAAATGGTGGTGGTGTCCAGGGGTGAATTTTTCCAAGGCAGCATTGATACTTTTCTCTCTCTGAAGAATAACCCTCAACTTTTCCATGGGCCATATTAACATCCATGATTTGGCCAGGAAATCTTTCCTCAATTTATACATGAGGTTGAATTATACATTAGTATATGTGGTAGATAATTTGCTTGCATTTCTGTTTTCTCTCTGTTCTAAGAACTTGCAAAGCCCAGGAGATTCCAATCTGTCTCACTTATCAAAAGATCAGAAATGATATCAAACTATCTCAGGGTGGGATGCAAGCAGAATCAATAGAAACAAAATTAAGTTTTTCAAAGATTAAAACCATTTAAAATCATGTACAAAACTTTTTGAGGCAAATCAGTGAGGCCCAAAGGCTTTAATTCACTTACCATAAAAAGTTAATATTTCAAAATGATTTTGAACATTTCAGGAATGCTGAGTTCTCATGGCTAAGACATTCTAGCTGTGATCAAGGGCATGTTCATCCTTTTCTATGTAGTACAGGACATTCATTTGTCCTTTCTTTTTTGTTTGTTTGATGGTGAGAAGAAGAAGACGAAGAAAAAGAAGAAGAAGAGGAGGAAGAGGAGGAGGAGGAGGAGAAACATGCACTGGCAGATTATGCGAAAGAACCAATATTGATGGAAGTGAATTGTGCCGTTACACCCAGACGCTTTATAAAAAACAAAACTATGATGTGCTGTCCCTATGCCTGGGCAAACTGCTGGGGCTTTCTTGAGAAAATTGAGATAATCAGCAATTGAGTCTATTGCAAGTTCTGAACGTCAAAAAGGATATTTATTTCAAAGTCTTGCAGACTTGGTACAGTTCTTTCAAAGTTGCAATCAAACAGTCAATAGATAAAATCAAATAGATATTCCTTCTTTCTCTTCTCCACCAGTTACTGCATCAGCCTTATCCAAGTGGCAAAGGGTCCAGGAATCCCTCACCCTAATCCAGAACCTCTATCTTTAGAAATAACCAATCTTTCCCTATCTATCTAGGCTTAAGACTAGCCTTGGAAAAAAGCAATGCAGTCTATCTCCCTATAAACTCTATAAAACTCAATTCCATTCTATCTATGACTCAATTTAGCTACTCTAACTATAACACCTTAATTCTCAATTAAGCTTACCTAACTATAACTCAATTGTTCTCAATTCTCTAACTCAATTCTCAAATCTCAATTATTCTCAATTCTTAATTAAACTTATCTCAATTGCTTTTGCGGTGATTTGTCGGAGCTACCTTTTCTAGGCCTCCAGCACATCCAATTGCTTCTTTAGAACTGAATAGGGCAGGGAGATTCTAAAATGGAGAGTCTCCTCAGGAGGAAGGGCAGGCTCCAAGAGCTGCTCCCTAGGCCAATTACTACAAAGAGTTTGCAGACTGGCTTTTTCCCACCTTTGGCTGCAAACTCCAGGCCCTGCAAGGCTGCAGCAGCTTCTAAGAGAAAGGCAAAGGGCAGCCACTTCAAGCAACCAAAAAAGCACTGAACCAGTCTCCTGGGAGATGGAACATGAATAGTTAGTAAACTGCTTGAAGTGCAAAAAAAGCAAAGAAGGAATAAGAATAGAATGCAGTGCAGATAAGAAAACTGGCAAAAGTAGGCTCTCCATGGACAATTCTTGGGAAAAAATCAAGAGCAAAATGGACAAAGAAAAAACATGGATGTGGCTCACAAGTGGAACTTTGAAAAAGGAGACTGAGGGCCTGATTCTGGCAGCTGAAGAACAAGCCATTATAACAAATGCCATCAAAGCCAAAATTGAAAAGTCTATGACAGATCCAAAGTGTAGACTCTGCAAAGAAGCATATGAAACAATAGATCACATACTTGGCTCCTGCAAGAAGATCGCACAGACAGACTGCAAGCAGAGGCATAACACTGTTGCTCAGATGATTCATTGGAACTTGTGCCGCAAATACCATCTGCCTGGGACAAAGAACTGGTGGGATCACAAGCTGGAAAAAGTTACAGAATATGAACACATCAAGCTACTCTGAGACTTCCAAATTCAGACTGACAGAGTTTTGGAGCACAATACTCCTTATCTCACGATTGTGTTAAAAAACCGAGTGTGGATCATTGATGTTGCAATCCCAGACGACAGCAGGATTGAAAAACAACAACAGGAAAAGCTGACATTTAAAGGTCGAACTGCAAAGACTCTGGCACAAGATAGTCAAGGTGGTCTCAGTGGTGATTGGCACACTAGGTACAGTGTCTAAAGACCTTGTCCTGCACTTAAACACAATTGGCACTGACAAAATTGTCATCTGTCAGCTGCAAAAGGCCACCTTACTGGGATCTGCATGTATTATTTGCCAATACAGCACACAGTCCTGAACACTTGGGAAGTGTCTCACATGTGATCCAATACAACAACCAGCACAGCGATCTTGTTTGCTGTGTACTAATCTTGTTGTGTTTCAAATAATAATAATAACTTTATTCTTATATCCTGCCTCAATCTTCCTGAAGGGACTCGGGGCAGCTTAAATGGGGATCAAGCCTGATATAAACAAAGGTTACAAGTAACACAATTAAAAACATAAAACAGTCGACTATATTAAAACAATAAAACCAATAAAATGTAAGACATCATAAAACATAAACCAAGCAACAAAACAACAAATAGCCGAGAAAAATGGGCATGTGCAGATTTGAGACTAATAGGGCAGGACTAGTACTGGGCTGGATTACTGATTCATTCTTACTCTTTTTCAGAGGCGGTGGTCTTCGGTCGGCAAAACATCTCCATTACCCATTAGGCAGATGTTAAGCAAGTTTTCACCCCGAAAAATTAGCCCCATGTCTGTTCAGACTCAAAACATACATGACTCACGGCATGAAAGACCCAAGAAATCACCAAATCTGACTGTTTTCCATGTACAGTTTCCAGCATCTGTAATTGGCCAATTCTCAGAGTCTTCAGATAGCGCAGAAAGCCATGCAATATCTGAGCACGAAGAAATGGAGTTTTCATGTTTACCAGGGACTAGTAAGGAGGACCTTCCTGAACAGGAACAATTGGAGTCTTTAGATGCACCGGAAAGCATACAAGAGGGATTTTCTGAGTTTAAACAAATGGAGTTTTTACGTGCACCAGGGACTGATATAGATGGGTTGCCATTTGACTATGATCCAGCAGAGCTCTCCTATGAAGCAGAGAGTCCTGATGAAGCAGCACTAGTGCATGCTGCTAGGGCTTACCAGTGCACTCTGGTGGCTAGAAATCCTGAGCAAGTGGTGATAGACATGAATTATATGGGAATGTTAACATTTCAACGGTTGCACATTTTGCCTTTCGACTCGACCCGCAAGCGAATGTCTGTAGTGGTTAAGCACCCAATTTTAAAACGAATTGTGGTGTATACAAAGGGTGCAGACTCTGTGATGATGGATTTGCTGCAGACAGAACCAACAGGTATTCATGACCCTTTTATCTACTTTCCAAACTGACACTGCAAAAGACTTTTGTCTAACTGATATTCATATCTGATTCATTTGATTGATAGCCTATCTTTCTGGTTGGGGTGGCGTCGGGCTGCATTGGCTTTATATAATAGATGCATCCTCAGGAGACAATTTGTTAAAATGCATTGCTCACATCAAAAATGAAAAGGCTCATATATAATTATATTTTTGGTAGCATTGCACCTGGAAAATTAAAATGTATAATCCTATATGATGTCATATGTGGAGGATTTATAGCCTATTTCTTCTCATTCTTTGTTGATAGTCGTTTCTGTAGAAAGTGGGAAGAGACATAAGTAAAGATAAGGTTTCCCCTGACATGAAGTCTCATCTTGTCCGACTCTGGAGGGTGGTACTCATCTCAATTCCTAAGCCAAAGAGCCGGCATTGTCCTTAGACACCTCCTAGGTCATGTGACCAGCATGACTGCATGGAGGGCTGTTACCTTCTTGCCAAAGTGGTATCTATTGATGGAGGGCCCATCCAGACCACCCCTTTATTGCGGAAACTAAATTAGTCCAGAAAACTATGGGAATCCCACCACTCCCCCCCCCCCCCCCCCCCCCCCCCCCCCCCCCCCCCCGCTCTCCTGACGTGCCATTTCTACGTGCCAGGAGAGCTCTGGCAAGACTGTAATGGAGGTCAGATAAGATTATTTTACTTTTAAAAGGGGTTTGGGGGCTGTGGGGGAGGGTCTCCAGATGTTTTGCCCGGCCAGTCCCGGCAGAACATCTGGACACCCACACCAGAAAGTGCACTCTTTCAGGGGTGGGTTTAACAGGCCCCCAGGTACATCTGCGTTTTTTAAATGTGAATTCTCCTAGGATAAAGGGCTGTCATATTTTGCATGTTTTTGAACTGCTAGGCTGACAGAAGCTGGGGCTAACAGTGGGAACTCACCCTACTCTTCGGATTTGAACCGCCAACCTTTCAGTCAGCAAGTTCAGCAGCTCAGCAGTTTAACCTGCTATACCACCAGGGACTCAGGGAAGAGACATTTATGTCTAAAAGCTTTGCAGACTCTAATTGAATGTATAGCAGAAATTGTTTCATCCTGTTAGTTGGACATTTGAATATACTGGGAGTTTGTGTATTAAGATTAGTGTTTTATTTTTTGCCTACATTTAAAGATGTGCCTTGCTCTGGCTTTGTGCATAATCCTTTTCCATTATTGGTTATATTATAATAAAGATATAGCTACATCCCCCAAAGATGGAGCTCCCGATGGAACAATGTGCTAACCCTTGTGCTGACAGGACTGTTGACCAATAGGTCAGCAGTTTGAATCTGGGGAAAGCGGGTTGATCTCCCTCTGTCAGCTCCAGCTCCCCTTGCTGGGACATGAGTGAAGCTTCCCACAAGGATGGTCAAACATCAAAACATCCGGGCATCCCTTAGGCAATGTCCTTGCAGATGGCCAATTCTCTCACACCAGAAGCAATTCAAATCATTCCTGACACGAAAAAAAAAAACCCAAAGATTAGGGTACTGAGTAATAGTGGGATTTGTGAGCTGGTAATATGTTACTATATATAGAAGTAGGATTATATAATATTTCTTAAAGGGAGTAAACTAGGCAGAACTAAAAAACATCAGACAGAGAATGGCAGGTTCCTATATTAGTTTCTACATTTGCTAGTTTTGCTTTTGTATGTATGTTTTGTGTATTGGTTAGGTTCAGTAGCATTGTTAGTTGTTGTTGATTAGTGCTTTATATCACAAAATTGGGTTTTTTTTTGTTTTTGATGCAAGATGTTGGCGGATCTCAGGATTGAACCTTTTTACAAAAAGATTTGTAGAAGTAATAACACTATTTTTTTAAATAAAGATGAGGGCATATTTCCATGTTACAAGCATATTTGTTTTTCCCTTTAAACTGAGGTAATGAAGAGACAGATAGACTCAGGAAGAGAATTCAGGAAAGAACCCAGAGGCATTTAGATGATTATGCATCACAGGGACTCCGCACTCTTTGTATAGCAATGAAGGTAATCGTTTCTTGGTTTTTTTTAAAAAATCATTAGTTTTATTCTGAAAGGAACAGGATGTTATTTGTGTTACACCAACAGGGAAGTAGAATGCAGAGGAAGATTCCAAAATGAAAATAAAATATGAATATGATGGTAAATACTATTGTAAGAAACATAGAAGATACACTGGGCATGATAATTTTAAGATAAAGCCCCATCTCACTGATCTGGATGTCTGACACATCCAATCATATATTGATCTGAAAAGTAAAGGATGTGGTTCAAAGTGAGAGTCAGAGCCACAAACATTGACATGTGAATGTATGGTTTTCCAAAGAAGGATACACAGAAGTCACATAGTTGCCTTTTCCATTGACGTGAATGGATAAAATGTATTCTGGGATGGACAGAGTGCAGTCCTAGGAACTCATGTGGTCCCCAAAGCTATTGTTAACCCCTTGCTCCCTCCCCGTTCTGTGGACTGCTTTTCCCACTCATTCTCAAATTATTTGTTTCTTCCAGAAGCACCCAGAACAGGCAATTAACCCCTTTGAAAACTCCCATAAGCACTATTTGATTTTGTGGATGAAGAAAAATTTTTTTTTTCAGAATCAGACATGTATTTCTAAACACTTTGGACTTGGAAAATTGGGTGAATATTTCAAGAAAAATAAAGAATACCACAGTAGAGCATCTCTGTTTTGTGGCGATCAAGGTCTGTGACAAGGTGCACAGATGTATATATGCACAATGATCTCCCTTCAAATTGTTTCCAAATTAAGGTGACCCTAACATAATCGTATCATGGACTTTTCTTTAAAACAGGGTTGCTATTTGAACTAAGATGAAAAAAATCATTTTATTTTAGTTTATCCATTCATTAGAATTCGACCTTCCTTATACATTCAGCATAGGGAAGGCAATGTTCTATGTAAAGAAAAGCGCTCACTGTTAGAAAGAAAGTTCTATGGGCTGGGTTGTCCTGACGTTTCACCTGCATCTGTGGCAGGCATCCTCTGATGATGCCTGCCACAGATGTTGGCAAAACGTCAATAGAGAATGCTTCTAGAACATGGCCAAACAGCCCGACAACAACCCAGTGATTCCGGCCATGAAAGCCTTTGGCAATACATTGAACTATGGGCTTTTTCTTGTTTTGAGTTCTCTCATAACATTTTGAGAAATCTATCCCAAGTACACAGTTCTCCAGCCAATCTCTGTATAGCACACAGTGTTTTTGCTTTGTGTAGAATATTATGCTTTATATTCTTACAGTATAATAATCATTTTCTGATAATCCTGAATGTTGGTGGGTTGGTCCCGTGGCAAACACTTTGCATGAAAAACGAGACCACTTAGAAATAGGTCATAACTCATGATTTCTGCTTATTGAGGAGGGAAACTCCCTCAAAATTCAGTAGGATGCAATTTTGACAATTCAACCAACATTGATTTGGAAAAGAACACAGAAAGGAAGGATCTTTGAGTGTGCCCAGTGCACTGAAGTAAGGAGCATCAGAAAGAGAGATGGAACTTTTAAAAAAAGGGTGTGGGGGTGGGAAAAAGCGTGGGACCACTTTGATATTAGCCTGAACTAATGGCAATAGTTCATGATCCTAACACACTAGGCCAGCATGTCTCAACCTGGGGGTTGGGACCCCTGAGGGGTCATGAGGGGGCACCAGAGGGGTCACCAAAGACCATCAGAAAACATAGTATTTTCTTTTGATCCATGGGGTTCCGTGTGGGAAGTTGGTTCTTTGATTGTAGGTGAATAATAAATCCAAGCAACTGCAACTTCCAAATGTCAAGGTCTGTTTTCTCCAAACTTCACCAGTGTTCACATTTGGGCATATTGAGTATGTGTGCCAAGTTTGGTCCAGATCAATCATTGTTTGAATCCACAGTGCTCTCTGGATGAAATTGAACTACAACTCCAAAATCTCAAGGTCAATGCCCACCAAACCCTTCCAGTATTTTCTGTTGGCCATGGGAGTTCTGTGTGCCAAGTTTGGTTCAATTCCATTGTTGGTAGAGTTCAGAATGCTCTTTGATTACAGTCTAACTATAAATTCCAGCGACTACAACTCCCAAGTGACAAAATCAACCCCCCTCCCAACCACAGCAGTATTAAAAATTGGGTGTATCAGGTATTTGTGCCAAAATTCATCCAATGAATTGGAATGCATCCTGCATATTAGATATTTACATTATGATTCGTAACAGTAGCAAACTTACAGTTATGAAGTAGCAATGAAAACAATGTTATGGTAGGGGGTCGCCACAACATGAGGAACTGTTTTAAGGGGTTGCGGCATTCAGAAGGTTGAGAACCACTGCACTAGACGGTGACACAATATCAACACAGGAATATATCATGAAATAAAGGCACTCTCTCCCTTTTTATATTATCCAGGAAGAAGGAATTTGAAATGGTAAGTGTCTTTCCTCTCTTGCACTGTATGCAGATATTTCAACAGACGACAAAAGAAAAGTCAATTTGCCCTTTTCCACCTCCTGGAAACCCAATTTGTGCCGATACCGGTGTCTTTCCTGTGCAGAATCAAAGCATGGATTTTTATTAAAGACCTTGGAGCCAGATTATTCCAATTCCATATGTGCTATGGTTGCTATTTTCTCCCACAGTCACTTTGGGGTTTTGTTTTTGTTGTTGTTGTTTTGGATTTAATACCCCATAACCCGCCTGTCAACCCCAGGTAGTGTGACCAAAGATGTGTCAATTAAAACTGCCTTTGTTTACTTTTTTTCTTGCTATAATGGAGATGCCAAAGAATATGACCAAAGAGTAAAACATTTTTAAGAGGAAGACTTTTAACTTCAAGTGACTGAAGGACTGATTGGAATGATAAAAATTCAGCTACATGTGCGTTTTTAATGGTTTTTAGTTGTAGTGGTTCTCCTGTCTATCTTTTTGATGATTCTGCAGGTCTTGAATGATGAGGAATATGAAGAATGGTCACAAGGACATTTTATAGCTGAAAGCAGTATAGAAAACAGGGAAGAAATGCTCCTTGAGTCAGCAGAAAGACTTGAGAACAACTTGATTTTGCTTGGTGAGTTGAAATAAAAAGTGGCTTATAGAATATCTGAAATTCTTAAATGCATATCTAATAATTGTCACTTAATTCCCTGAAGTATCAAAGCTGTATTGGAAATGTGCTTTTGACACATGCAAACGAAGGTAAGGCCTCCAGACATTTGAAACTAGGTAACTCTCACAATCCCTTGGTTGTGTTGGGTGAAGTTGACTGGAGGACCAAACGTTCCAAACAACCTAACTCACAGAGCTCATTTTTTGAAAGAAGGAACAAATTAATTAACAGTATGCTCCTTAATTAGTAAACCGTAAATAGTATGTGCAACGTGATCATCTACAACAGGGCAGGGGGAATAATGCAGCCTCCAAAGACTAATATTTTGGCCACCTCAGAGGGAAAGAAACTCCCAGTAGTCCTCTCTCCCCAAGAACTTCCCCCCAGCCATTCCTACTCTAAACAAATGGCACTTCTAATTATTTCCCTATCTTTTCATAATCCTTGCTGAATGAGACTAACTGACATGACTCTAAGTAATTCTAAGTAATTCCTATCTTTCTCATGTCTCTCATATTTTCAAATCCCTTCAAAATATTCAGCCAGTTACCAATACCTCCCCAAATTTTCACCTATTTCCAAATCATCATTTATTGTATTACATTTATTCTATTACATCACACACATAACCATATACCTTAATTTCTCTGATAAGCACAACCATCTTTTTACAACAGTCTAGAGAATCAATGCAAGATTTCCCCATAGAAACATGGCAAAGTTGGTGTTCTAGTGCAATGCAGAGTGTAAAGTGAGCAGTGTTATGGAACAGTGGCATCTCCCCTTAGGCCAGCATTTCTCAACCTGGGGGTCAGGACCCCTGTTTGGGTTGTGAGGTGGGTCTCAGAGGGGTTGCCAAAAACCATAAGAAAACACATTTTTCTGATGATCTCAGGAAGCCCTTTGGCAGAGAAGGCTGAAGGTCTCTCCACCTTTCATCCTTTTTGGAGATAGCGAATCCTCCCATCAAAAGCCTTCTTCCTGCTGTGATTGGCCAGCCTCTCAGGACCCCTCAGCCAAGGGAAGGGCTGTTTCTGAGACGCCAAGTGAGGAGGGGAGAGAAGGTGTGCTCAGCACATGGCAGCTTGGTGCACATGCATAGGTGAGGGAGATCACTTGAGGCTAAAGGACTGGGCCCCTAACCCCATCAGTATTCAAATTAGGGTGTATCGGGTATTTGTGTCAAATTTGGTCCAGCGAATAAAAATACATTGTGCATATCAGTTATTTACATTATGATTCATAACAGTAATAAAATTACAGTTATGAAGTCACAATGAAAATAATGTTATGGTTGAGGGTCACCACAACATGAGGATCTGTAGAAGGGGTCGCGGCATTCAGAAGGTTGAGAACAACTGACTTAGGCATTCTCTTTCCCAAACCTGCAATAGGTTCCCTCTATTATATTTGGAAATAAAAAGCTGGTTTATGGGGGGGGGGGGGGATATGAAAAAATGTGTTTCGGGTGGACATGAAAGTCTCAAAATGGCCTTTAAGTCCACATACGTTATTTGCATTGCTCTTTACAGTCTGCTATTGTTTCGTTTTATCGACTTGCTTGTTTTCAAAGGTGCCACTGGGATTGAAGATCGCTTGCAAGAAGGTGTCCCAGAAACTATAGAGTCCCTTCGAAAAGCAGGGATTAATATTTGGATGCTGACTGGTGACAAACGGGAGACTGCTGTCAATATAGCATATTCCTGTAAATTACTGGATTCTACTGATCAGCTCTTCATTCTCAAGAGTAACAGTTTGGTACATTTGACATTTTCCGTAGTTGTATTTTACTGAAATGTTTTGCATTGCTCTATAATGACCAAAAGACTGAATTTCATGGACTTTGGCCATGACTAGGAGACAACCCTTTTTGCATCAGAAAATAGCCAAGGTGAGGGTATCCACTAAATTGCTCAGGACATCTAAAGCAGTGATTTTCCAACTCTATTTTTGCAAGTGCTTTAGATTTCAAATCCCATAAGTGCCAGCTCGTTTGGTCAGTGATCAGGAATTCCAGAAGCTGAAATCCAAAACAACTGAAGGTCCGGAGTTTAGAAAACACTGATCTAGAGGCTGCCAGGTTAAAGATGACCATACTATAGAAGTATTTTGTGCATTAGCCTCTATTGAAATCTAAAACAAAATTTAATCTGTCACTCTGTTTTGGTTAAGGCATTTACACATTTTAAATTGTGGCTGAAATATTTTCAAGATGCTAAAGAAATAGTAGACTAGCAAATGACATAATACAGAATTTTGTCTCCCAAACTGGAGCAAATCTAAGTTTTCTAAGTTGCTCTTTGTTGTATTTTCCTGCAGCTTTGCTTGATTATCTTTAATGTGCTATGAATTCTTTTCACAGCATGAGATTCTTTTCTATATGCTAATTATACCTTTTGATAGAAAAAATCATTAATATTGTTTGATTCTAATCAATGCTATAACCATAAAAATCATTGAAAAACAAGAAAAATATATTTAATACTTTAAAAATATGTTATTAGATGGGTGGTAAGAAGGAGGGGATCAATTATTTTGTTGATCACAAAATTAGGTCTTTGTTTTTCCATTTGACAAGTGATGAATTAATTGAGTATTTTATGTAAAATATTGGGCAGGCAATCTAATTTTCCTTATTGGTATTTCCCTAGCTATAATTGAATTAGCATTTTAGGTCAACTATCTCTTGCGAGAAATGCAGATCCATCATGGCAGATTTAAAAATAAAAACACCCGCTAACATGATGTTGTGAATAATCCCTGTATATCGCTAGCACACAACTGCCTTTAAAACTCCCATTGATTTCTGTTGGAAATCCAGACAAGTTTCCAAGAACTTATGTAGAAGCTGCATAGTTCATTAGTATTGCGTAAGGCAATATCCCGGTGTTTTATTTCCTTTTAAAAAAACTTAATTTGTATATGTATTGTTTGACTTCATAATACATCTTTCTCCCCAGGAATCAGACAGTCAGATAGATTTTTTTGTGTCAGGAGCAACTTGAGAAACTGCAAGTCGCTTCTGGTGTGAGATAATTGGCCATCTATAAGGATGTTGCCCAGTGACACCTGGAAGTTTTGCCATTCTGTGGGAGGCTTCTCACATGTCTCCACATGGGAAACTGGAACTGACAGATGGGAGCTCACCCAGCTCCCTAGATTCAAATCGTCAACCTTTCAGTCAGCAGTTCAGCTGACACAAAGGTTTAACCTATTGCACCACCAGGAGTTCCAGATAGATAGATCGACAGATAGGAAAATATTCAACTGGTTTCCAATTCCAGGTTAAAGAAAAACAAAAGTGGTGAGTGGCTAACTAAACATTTAAGAAAGCCTTGCTCATGTGACAGGTTTGGATATCATGATTATCTATCATTTATCAAGCATAAGACATTTTTTTATGATGGAAATGAGCCACCACAACCCTGGAGCTGACATACACAGAGTTGTGAAGAGTCCAGAAGTGATTGCTTCTATTTTTGATTAAATGCTACACACCAATTCATCCAACGGCAAAATTCCATGCTTAATCCTAACTTTTGTTTCTTTGAACCATGGCATTTTCTGGTAAGAAGACTGGTTATTTTTCCATAACCATAGTTATGGACCAGGCATAACATCAAACTGGAAATTAAAGCTTTTCATCATTTCTTCTCATGTCTTCTCATTTCTGTGCAAAAAGGAGCAAAAAGCACAATAGCTTATGACTCTCTAACATTTCTGATTATTTAATTTTATTTCTTTAGTTTTCTTCTGCCTTTTCGCAGATAAATAGCAGACAAAGCAGCTAACAGTAAAATACAAATGAAAGCAAATAAAAGTATAGGTTCTTGTGGGTTTTTTCGGGCTATATGGCCATGTTCTAGAGGCATTTTCTCCTGACGTTTCGCCTGCATCTATGGCAAGCATCCTCAGAGGTAGTGAGGTCTGTTGGAATAGGAAAATGGGTTTATATATCTGTGGAATGACTGGAGTGGGGCAAAGAGCTCTTCTCTGCTGGAGCTAGGTGTGAATGTTTCAACTGACCACCTTCATTAGCATTTGAAGCCCTGCTGAGCCTGGGGGAATCTTTTGTTGAGAGGTGATTAAGATGTGCCTGGTTGTTTCCTCTCTGCTGTTTTGCTGTTGTAATTTTAGAGTTTTTTAATACTGGTAGCCAGATTTTGTTCATTCTCATGGTCTCCTCCTTTCTGTTGAAATTGTCCACATGCTTGTGGATTTCAATGGCTTCTCTGTGTAGTCTGACATGGTGGTTGTGGAGTGGTCCAGCATTTCTGTGTTCTCAAATAATATGCTGTGTCCAGGCTGTTTCATCAGATGCTCTGCTATGGCTGACTTCTCTGGTTGAAGTAGTCTGCAGTGCCTTTCATGTTCCTTGATGCGTGTCTGGGTGCTGCGTTTGGTGGTCCCTATGTAGACTTGTCCACAGCTGCATGGTATACGGTAGACTCCTGCAGAGGTGAGAGGATCTTTTGTCCTTTGCTGAACGTAGCATTTGTTGGATTTTCTTGGTGGGTCTGTAGATAGTGTATGTTGTGTTTCCTCATCAGCTTCCCTATGTGGTCAGTGGTTCCCTTGATGTATGGCAAGAACACTTTTCCTCTGGGTGGATCTTCATCTTTACTCTCGTGGCTTGTTCTTGGTCTTGCAGCTCTTCTGATGTCTGAGGTGGAGTATCCATTGGCCTGGAGAGCCCAGTTGAGGTGGTTCAGTTCATCTTGGAGGAGGTGGGGTTCGCAGATTCTTTTTGCACGGTCTGCCAAGGCTTTAATGTGCTTCTTTTTGGACTTGGGTGATGGTTGGAGTTTTTATGTAGATATCTATCTCTGTGTGTGGGTTTTCTGTAGACGGCGTGACCCAATTGTTGATCTGGTTTGCGGATGACTAGGACATCTAGAAAAGGCAGTCTTCCTTCATTTTATTTTTCCATAGTGAACTGGATGTTTGGGTGGATGCTGTTAAGATGGTCCAGGAACCTGTTTAGTTCTTCATGGCTCCAAATGGTGAAGGTGTCATCCACATATCTGAACCATATAGTGGGCCTTTTGGTTGCTGAAACATTCACACCTAGCTCCAGCAGAGAAGAGCTCTTTGCCCCACCCCAGTCATTCCACAGATATATAAACCCATTTTCCTAATTCCAACAGACCTCACTACCTCTGAGGATGCTTGCCATAGATGCAGGCGAAAATGCCTCTAGAACATGGCCATATAGCCCGAAAAAACCCACAAGAACCTAGCGATTCCAGCCATGAAAGCCTTCGACAATACAAATAAAAGTCTGCCCTCCACATCCATTGATTCTGTATCCATGGATTCAACAACCCATGACTTTAAAATACTCACAACTTTTTTTCAAAATGCCAATCTTGATGTTTTCTTTTTATATAAGGAACAGTATTTTACCCTGGATTTGTATATAATGGAACTAAAGGTTTCATGGATTTTAGCATCCACACTGGGACTAAACTATGCATCAAGGGTCCACTATATATTAAAACAGGAAAAACAGGCTATATTGCCATTAAAACCATATCAATAGAAAAGAAGCAACAGTCTCATTCAGTGCCAGTCTGAATGAAAAAGTGCTTGCTAGCCAGTGAACAGACAAGGGAAATGGTGGGCGAGTAATATTGCTTCCCTGAGCAGGGAACCAGAGCAAAGCTTGTGAGCAGCCACCAGAAAAGTGGTCTCTTGTATCCATACCAAATGTGATTCTAGGAGTGACAGTACCAAGAGAAGAGCTTATCACAGACATCATAAAATCAAAACATGCTGGTATGTGACAGGCCTTACCACCCAGATATGTATACAAAGTATAATTATATAAGGAATTGAACAAAAACTACAATTTGTCATCTTCCATCCCTCTTTTTCCTAACCAGGATGAGTGCACAAACATGATAGAGAGTTTTTTAGAAGACATCAGGTCAAATGCTTGTTCGAAAGAGAGGCGTAGCACAATTGCTCTCAGAGTCTCAGCGAGTACACACGTTAAGATTCCTCAGTACAGTTATGCACTGGTTATAGATGGACCAACGCTAAAATTTGCCTTGCATGAACGTGTGCAAAAGAAGTTCTTAGAGCTCACTTCATGTGTTCGGGGAGTGATCTGCTGCAGAGCAACCCCTGTGCAGAAGAGCCAGTTAGTGTCAATGGTGCGGAAGGAGCTGAGGGTGATGACACTAGCTATTGGTGAGTGAGAGCTCTTTCATAATGAAACTGTCCATTGTGTGTAAAAATGATTTTGAACTGGAAGAACATTGAACAGCGGGGACAAATTTTGTTTTGCTGTTTACATTACCCTGTAGAGCGCCAGATATAGACTGGTGGTCTTATATAATAAACTGAGAATGATTGTGCCAATTAATTCCAACTAGTATACACATCCATCCTTTGGGCATTTCTTACATGTAGCGTACTTTACTTGTGGGATTAATTGTTGGAAAATCAGCCTGGATTTGTCAGGGTAGTGATGAGGATGAGGATGAAGAGCTGCTTCACCCACTACTAAACCCACTACTATGTTCCCACCAACGCCCCACCTCTCTATCTTGTTCATGCCCAGCATTATTTTAAATTTTAATTACATTCGGCCGAGCCATAGATTTTAAATGTGTGTTGTGCTATTGTCAATGTTTATGCTATTTGTGTTTGAGATTTATTTTAATTGCTTTGTATTGTAGTTGTTATTGCTTGTATTGATGTATTGTGGGCTCGGCCTTATGTAAGCCACCAGGGCCGGCCCTAGGTAATTTTCAATGGTAAGCAAACATTATTTTGGCGCCCCCCCCAAAAAAAAACCCCCACAAAAACCAATCACTGAAAAATAAAAGGTAGAGGTGAATAAAGAGTTACCTTAAAACCAGAAGGTTACTTACATTATGTTCATATAGTTACATTACATAGAATTAACACAAATTAATGTTTTTTAAATGCAAATATTTTATTAAACTTGGCAACAATTTTAAGTTTTTGTTGTTATTTTTGATCTACAAGTATGACACAAAGGTTTCACAGAAAATACAAGATCTTTGCATTATGACAATTCCGCTGAGACAATTGAAGACAGAACAGCCCTTAATACATGCATACATATACATACACATACATACATGAACACACACACACACACACATATATATATTATTTTATTTGGAATTGCAAATTGCAATGCATTCCATCACACACACACTTAAATAAATATTCTGTGTTTACGGAACGAACGGCTTCCTTTCTGCAAGGACTTCTTCTAGAATGCATGGCAATTCCAAAGAAAATAAAATATTTTGGACCACAACAAGTAAGTCCACTGAGACGACTAAAGATAGAATAACCTTATCTATATAAATAAATATATAATTTTCGTTTGTGGGATTAACATAACTCAAAACCCGCTGGACGAATTGGCACCAAATTTGGCAGCAAAACACATACTAATCCAATCTATGTCTGTCAAACAAAAAAAATCTCTGGCTGCTTCTCATTACTTTATTTTGCATACCACCACACTACCCCAGGGTGCTATTATTATTATTATTATTATTATTATTATTATTATTATTATTATGAGTCTAAATGGCCATCTAGCAGGAGTGTTTCAATTGTGCTTTTCGCTTATGCCAGAAGGAAGTTGGATTGGATGGACCTTGGAGGTCTCCCTACTTTATGATTCTATTACTATTATTAATAATAGTATTATTATTAAGCAGAGTCTCTATGGCCATCTGTTAGGAGTGCTTGGATTGTGTTTTTCCCTTATGGCAGAAGGAGGTTGGACTGGATGGCCCTTGGAGGTCTCTTGCAACACTAGGATCCTATTACTGTGAATTCCTCCCAAACCCCTCCAGAGTTTTCTGCTGGTCATGGAGGTTCTGTGTGCCAAGTTTGGTTCAGATCTGTCATTAATGGGAGTTTTAATGGTCTGTGGAAGTCTGAGCTGAATCAGTTGAAGGTACTCCAAATCCCATCAGCTTGATTAGCATTCAATGGCCTTGCAGACAAGAGTCAATCAAGGCCAGCTAATATGTCTTAACAATGGATTCCCCCGGGCAGGAAGCAGCCAGGCTTTGAAGCTGCAAGGTTATTTGCTGCATCAGAAGCAAACCAAGGGTAAATTTGTAATGTATATAGAAAACACAAAGTTTAAAAACTTGGCATCCAGCTGCAAGGTCATTCAGTGCTAATCAAGGTGGCCAATGGCAACACTCACACTTGCCTCAAGCAGGCAAGAGTCCTTCTTCCCACTCTGGACATCATTCCACAGGGATATATATAAACCCCACTTGCCTAGTTTCCAACAGAGTTCCCAACCTCTGAAGATGCCTGCCATTTATAACACATAACAATCTAATAAATATAAATAATTCATGTTAAAAATAATAACGTAATAAATAATAATTGTAAATGGAATAAATATAATAATATAATAATAATAGTAATAATTCCAAAGCTGAGAAGGAAATGGGGGCGAGTCAGTTTCCAACAGACCTCCCAATCTCTGAGGATGCTTGCCACTGATGTGGGTGAAACGTCAGGAGAGAATGCTGCTGGAACATTTTGAGCCTTCCAGGCGAAGCAGAGGCTTCAAAGGGCAGAGAGAAGAGCATGGAGTGGGGCAACAGCAGCAGGTCTTCCCCTCTTCTCCTCCAGGGTCTTCCTCCTCTCCGTTTGGAGATCCCCAAATGGAAAGGAGGAAGAAGAGCCCAGAGGAGAAGGAGATGGCCAAGCCTCGCTGCTGCTGCTGCTGCCCCACGCTCCTCTTCTCGCGAGAAGAGGGGCGAGAAGAGAGTGGCACAGAGCAGCAGCAGCAGCGAGGTCTTCCCCCCTTCTCCTCCAGGGTCTTCCTCCTCCTCCTCTCCATTTGGAGGTGCTTAAACCGAGAGGAGGAGGAGGAAGAGCCCAGAGGAGAAGGAGAAGGGGGGAAGACCTCGCTGCTGCTGCTGCTCTGTGCCACCCCCCTCTTCTCGCCCCCTTCGATGCCTCGCCTCGAAGGAGGTGAGAAGAGGAGGATGGCACAGAGCAGCAGCAGCAGCAGCAGCAGCGAGGTCTTCCCCCCTTCTCCTCCAGGGTCTTCCTCCTCCTCTCCATTTGGAGGTGTCTAAACGGAGAGGAGAAGGAAGAAGCGCCCAGAGGAGAAGGAGATGGCCAAGCCTCGCTGCTGCCCCACACTCCTCTCGCCGCTCTACAAGATGCACGGGGCATGAGGGGAGGGAAAGGCATGGACCTTTCTCTTCTCCCTCGCACGCCTTTCCTGCCTCTGCCGCCAGGAAAGGCACATGCGGGGCGAGAGGGGAAGAGCAGAGGCGCGCGCCTTTCCCTTCCCTCTTGCTCCATGCGCAGCTTTTCTGCCTCCTCCTGCCGTTGTCCCCGCCACCGCACGTGGGACGAGGCCCAATTGGAGGAGCATTTAAGGAGGCACATGAGCGCCCCTGGGAAAAACAAAGTGTTCCGCGGTCGCTTACTTCGCGTAATGGAAAAATGGCCCTGTAAGCCGCACCGAGTCCCTTCGGGAGATGGTAGCGGGGTACAAATAAATTATTATTATTATTATTATTATTATTATTATTATTATTAAAGTTCTGGACTTCTCCATCAAAAGTTCTGGACTTTTGAGGGGGCAGTCCAGACAGTAGTCGTATGGCTTTCTGGATTAAATTATCCTGGAAAACCACGAGAACACCAACTCCTCCCCAAAAGCCCCCCAAAGCCCTTTTTTAAAAAAGAAGAACTTACCTGGCCTCCATTAGAGGGCTGCCGGAGTTATCTTGGCACATAGAAATGACACGCCAGGAGAAAGGGAGGAAGAAAATCGCTTCTGCCCCCCCCCCCCCCCCCATTTTCTCCTGGCATGTCATTTCTATGCACTCTGAGGATGGCTGCCATAGATGTGGGCGAAATGTCAGGAGAAAATGCTTCTGGAACATGGCCCTACAGCCCGAAAAATCCTACAGCAACCCAGTGGTTCCAGCCATGAAAGCCTTCGACAACACAATATATGGCATGTTTGCCTTTTCCATCAACCCATCATTGTAATGCTATCTTTACTCCTCTCCTGCAAGGTGATGGTGCCAATGATGTCAGTATGATTAAAATTGCTGATGTTGGAATTGGAATCTGTGGCCAAGAAGGCATGCAGGTGGGTTAACTGATGAAACTATAAATGAAAGCAATGTTATCTATAGCTACATTGTTAACCTATAACTATATTGTTTAAGAGCCTTCAGGTCTTACAGAGTATGTACGAGGGTTGAATGAAAAGTAATGCCTCAACCTTCGTAACTCCTCAACAGATGGCAGTACTGGTATGCAACAGGTACTGGCTTGTTCAATAGACTTTCCTCTACAGTTCCATTTTGGCAGGAAGCCTTAACATTGAACAGTTGTGTTGTTAAAGTGTGGAGTATGGAACCCTGGGCAGACGGTCGGTCAATGCAACTTAAGCAATGTGCAGTCATTGTATTCTTGACAGCAGAAGGTGTTACCCCAAAGGAGATTCATCAGAGAATGCAAGCTGTTTGTGGTGATTGTGTTGGTGTGAGTACTGTGCATCATTGGGTGAGAAAGTTCAAAGATGTTGAGGTGGGAACATCTGACCTGTGTGACAAACAAACAGTTGGACGTCTTGTGACAGCAACCACTGAGTTTCACAAGCAAAAGGTTAACAGATTGATTCAGGACAATCATCATATCATTCAGAGAGAAATTTCAAGCATAATCGGCATTTCACAAGAATATGTGGGTCACATTATTGCCTTGCTTGGCTAATGGAAGATCTGTGCATGATGGGTACCCAGGATGTTGACACCCGAAATGAAAGCGCACAGACTTGAAACTTCAGAGACTGGATCTCACCACCATACAACATCTTCCATACAGTCCAGATTTAGCACAGTCTGACTTCCATCTGTTTCCGATAATGAAAGACGATCTGCAGGGATATCATTATGCTTCTGATGAAGATGTTGAGAGAACCGTGAGATGCTGGTTGCAGAAAAAGAGTGTCTACTTCTTCCATGACAGCTTCAAAAAACTTGTTCATCGTTGACAGAAATGTATCCAATTGTCTGGTGATTAAGTGGAAAAGTGAATAGTGGTAGTTAAAGAGCCCATTCTAAGGATTATTTATGCGTTTGATTTATTAAAATATTCCCATCCAAACCCAAATAACGAAGGTGGAGGCATTACTTTTCATTCAACTTTCATAATATATTGCCAGTGGGATGAAAGACTTGACATTGAAAATCTTAGCCCTTTCATATTGTACACCAAAATCTTCTACTACTATAAAGAAAAGTATAGGCAGTCCCTGAATTGCAAACATCCAACTTACATACAAATGACTCATAGTTAAGAATGGGGCTGAGACAACAGGAAGTGATAGAAATCTACTTCTAGGAAAGGAGGTTCACTCCTGGAAGAGTTACCATGGAGAAATTGTGTTTTAACTGAAACTTTATTGCCATTCCTTGTTTGCAAAAGAAACCAATTTTTTCAGATTCCAGTTCTCACAGATAATTCAGGTAGATATCTTAAAAGGTGAAAGATGATTTACTGCTTGTGGCAGACATCTGCACAATTGAAGGGTGTCATAGATGAGCTGGTAATGCAAAGACTTGGATTCTACAATTTCCTTAATGAGTGCAACACATACTTTGATGTTAAGTTAAAAGTATAAGATGTGTTACTTAACTGGCAATGAATCAATAGACATATTCTGAAATCAATAAATTAAGAATATTTTTTAAAGGATGTAGCGTAATGGGTGCAGGAGAGCTAGAAGAGAAAATGGTGTATAGATAGGAAGAGGCAGTTGGTGTCCATTGAGACTGGTAAGATGGGCAAGTGATGCCAATGCTAACAGCAGGCAAAGCTGATCTAAAACTGTCTTGCAGCTGTAACAATGATTCAGGACTGAGCATGCCAATGAAAACTTCAAATGAATCAGAGTGAAGTAAAATCAGTCTTCATGTTTATTGAATAATAGCTGGGAAGTTTGGCTTGGCATGGGGTACAGATTTGTTAATTGGCTAACCTAATCGTTGATTGAAAATTCACCTTTCTACCAGCTGAAATGTGAAGCTGGTTTTTCTAGAGATGGATTATGGAGACCAAGTGGCAGACAATCTAGCAGCACTAAAGATCCTTAAATAAGTCCCTTGCCATGTACTTGGTGCTATATTGCATTTCTATTTTGTTTGTTTTCAGGCTGTGTTGGCGAGTGATTTTGCGCTTGCTCAGTTCAAGCATCTGAAAAAGCTGCTGTTTGTTCATGGTCACTGGTGTTATACCCGGCTGGCCAACATGATCCTATACTTTTTCTACAAGAACTTGGTATGTAGCTCTCACGGGTGGCATGATGCTTTTGCAAGTGTGGGAAAACAATCCCTTAATACTTAGAACAGGGAAGAGTTAAGTAAATGTCTGCACTCAGAGTGGACCCGCAGAAAAGTGAATCTGGCCATCTGGTTGGGTTAAGGATCAGTGCTCCAGAGGCATTTACAATCTATTAAATGTGGTCTGTACCAAAAAGTTGCCAGTCTGCATTAAGAAGAGACTGTGACACATTGGCTCCATTATCAAAGCATTTAAACAGGATCTTTCTGATTGGAAAACATGAACCCCAAACAGGCTCATCTTGTCAGCTACTGAGTTTTCTTCTGAACATTAAGAACTCTGAAAGATCTTCAGTGGGTCATGAATGGAGTATGAAAACAACTAGTAGCCATGGCCTACTTTATCAGGACACATAAAAACAAAAGTCCTAATTAGTCTAAGGGCCCTTCCATACAGCCATATAACCCAGAATATCAAGGCAGATAATCCATATCTTTTCCCATAGAAGCCCATTTGGCACCCCTGTTGCCCTTTTTTTAGCATTAAATGCAAGCTTGGAGGTTACACTTGCCCTGAGACATTGATCATGACTCAATCAATCAATAATGTATTATAGTCGTAGACCAGCATAAAAGAAGAAGATAATTTGTATCTCAAAGTATATGAGACAAGGTGGCCGAATTACAAAAGTTACATACAATTCGCATTTGATTAATAATAATCATATCCCCAAAAGCAAAAAGTAAGTCACAACATTTTACCTAAGTCAGAGTCTTCTAAGCAATCCTCAGACACATGGCTATCTAAAGGCCCTTCTACACAGCCATATAACCCAGAATATCAAGTCAGACAATCCACAATATCTGTAGGATCTGTCATATCTTACAATAGGATTTCCATTTACTTTCCTATGCAGGTTGATCTACCATGTGACATGTTCTTAAGCTGCAACATCCTACTACTATTAAATTGGTTGGTCTTAGGAAATGTATGCTGAAACATACTAGATATATATGTTTCCAGGGGTAAAATGGGTGCAAGGGAGCAGTGTTTGGCAGTTCAGTTCATATAAGCCTTAGTATACTGTAACTATAGACAGTATTAACATTCCTGTGTGTTACTGTAAATAATCTTTGTCTTCCAGCAACAATGACCATTCCATACAATTAGTTTTAATTCCTGTTTCTGATCTTAACAGGCCTACGTTGGCCTCCTGTTCTGGTTCCAGTTCTTCTCTGGATTTTCAGGAACCCCCATGATTGATTACTGGAGTTTGATTTTCTTCAACCTTCTCTTCACATCAGCACCCCCTATCATTTATGGTGTGTTAGACCAAGATGTCTCTGCAGAAAGTCTCATGAACTGTCCAGAACTTTACAAGGCTAGTCAGAGAAATGAGGTATTTATTGGCTCAGAAATAGATGACAATGGATATGTCTCATATATTCTTGGTGTTGCATTCCAGGCCCATTATAATTCAATTTTCAGACACATTCCATGTTGTGTAAGCAATCTGACAAGGGATCCATTTAAAGCAGTGGTTGTCAACCTTTTCTTGACCAGGGACCACTTGACCGGGGATCACTTTGACCAAGGACCATTCTCCAACATTAGTACTGAAAGGGTTACGAATCAGTTTTTGGTCAACTTTAGATCTGGTTTGGTTATCTGGGGTGCTGATTCAGAAAATTGCATTGGATAGACCACATCAGCTCTAGATTCTGATGGAGAACATATGCCATCCAGTAGTCGCCATCTGTTTGCCCACAGAAGACCATATTAAATAATCCATAACTGATGTGGTAGTAGTAATCTTTTGTGGGGAGTCAGCCTCTCCCCTCCCGACATCCCAGTTCCTCGACACTTATAAGAGGGTTTTGCGAGACCAGTCGCTCTCGTTGCTTCAAGGCAGTGGTGTAGTAGTGGTGAGGCCGCAGGCCATATTTTCATTCTTGGGGTCCACTGGTGGTCCATGGACCAAAGGTTGGGAACCACTGATTTAAAGGGTGTTTGATTATCTCTGGCTGTTCTATCTACTGTTACTAATTCATTTTGGGTTTTGTTTTTTTAATGTAGCATGTCTAAAGAAGGGCTCAAGAGATGTGAGAGCCTTGTTCCATATTAATACCAGACAAACAGGTAGTAAAAAATCCATTTGAACCTCTGGGAAGGGCTCCTAAGTGGAGAAAATATCAAGAAAGGAAAAAGAAATCTAATACTGTGAAATGACTTAATTGAAGTGGCAAAGGACACCATCTTCAGATATGGGTCCACAAAGCTTAAAGAATTGCCAGTTTAAAAGATACTATTCTTTAGAGGGCATCGACAAGAACCACCCTCTCAATGTGAACTGTAGTCCAGATTTCTATGCACTCTCCAGATACAATAACTTCTATGTATAATCCATCTGCAAGGGTTGTTTATGAACATTGCGATTAGTTTGTCTCACTGAAAAGAAGAACGTGTCTTTTTCTACATCAATTTCAAGTGGGTTAATTCAGAGACATTTAAGATCTTCCTATGTGATTTCTAAATCTAGTTTAAAACTAGATTTTTCTTGTGCCAGAAGTGCTGATAAAATAAAGAGGCTTCATATTGTTCTTTGCATCCCTCATGTGTGATCTGCCATGCAGTAGACTGGCTCGGACCTTTGCTGAAAACTAAAGTCTCATGCCATCATGATGCTCTCCATACCCACTTTTAAAAGTTTACTGGGCAGAAGTTCATGCAAATAAACTAGCAAGTTATTAAAAATGACTAAAATATATCATGTGTTTCTCCTGTTTCTGTTTCAGCCATATGGGAAGTCAGCTTTTGCTGTGAACATAATGGATGGATTTTACCAAAGTCTAGTCTGCTTTTTTATCCCTTACTATGCAAGTATCAAGAAAAGCAGCCTCTTCTTACACGATTATTTTAAAAGTAATACAAAGCCTTGTTTATTTGCATATTATTTAAACATTCTTCTCATTCATAATACTTATTCAAATTTTGTATATTACAAAAAACAGTAGTGCTCTGTGATTTCAGTGCTGTATGGACTTTAATGACAAGATAGGCACTTCATACTTTAAATTTAAATAATTGATCTTTTACAGACATTCTATAAGTCTGATATAGACCTCTACTCCTTTGGAAGCATTCTTAACACTACCATGTTCTTTATAATAATACTGCACCTTGTGATTGAGAGTAAATATTTGGTAAGTACATGATTTAATTCACAGATTGTTGTAGGACTCACAGTTTATTTCTAGGCTGGGGGCAATGTGGACATGTGGCCCTCCAGATGTTGCTAAACACCAACTTTTAGCATTCCTTACCATTTGTGTGTGTTACTTAGCTAGGACTGATGACTGCCTTGGTGGATGATCTCTGCTGGGAACAGGTCGGGATAAGTGTGTCCATGTTCATTCTGCTGTGAAAAATCTGTGGGGATCTGATAGTTCTTTCAACATCTTGATGTCTTGACAAACCTCTCAGCAGCTTTTCTACTATCAGCCTTGACATTCACTCTATCCTTTAACCAGTTCGCATAGTGGCCCCCTCTCCCCCTCCAAAATTAGTCTCCTGTTGCTTTTGATGTTTGCTTATTATTGTTTATGCTGCTTTATGCTATTCTAATTTATTATTGTCCTCAAGGGAAGGCTTTTTCACATTTTATAACAACCATAGGCACATTTGCTGAGGTCTTCTTGGTGGCTATCCCCAGACTCTGGAAGTCCCTTTGGGGGCGGCTAAGTTGGTCCCCTCTCTGTTTTCTTTCTACCAACAGGCAAATATTTTTCAGTATAATCAGGACTTTTAATATTAACTGTCTGTTAATATTACATTATCACATTTTGTTTTAATTCAAATGATCAATTTCCTTGGGTCCTGTACTGAGGGAAAGGTCAGATTTAATTTTCAGATGATGCTTTCCAATACAAAAACACAAAAATATACAAACAAAAAGAAAAACACAATGGAAAGAAAGTACAGCAGAAATTGAAATGAACTTACATTTGACTCCCAACTTTCTTAATGATTGTTATATACTTTACTATGTAAAATAACTTATCCCAATAAGCATATAAACTAACTGAATGAATGGATGTGTAAATGCATGAATCAATTCATGAATAAAATGAATGGTGTTTCTTTCTGACTCTTTTATGTTTTTAGAAATGGATGGAAATGACATCTCATTCAGCTTATTCTTCTCTTGTTTTTATTTCAGACCATGATACACTTCTCTGTTTTTGCATTTAGCATCCTTTTGTTCTTTTCCATAACTGGAACTTTTGGAGCACTCTGTGTTCTTTGCAACCCACCTGCCAATCCCTACTGGGTTATGCAAAGGCACTTGGCTAATCCAGTAGTTTATCTGGTCTGCATCGTCACAACCATGTTGGCTCTACTTCCAAGGTATTTCTCTGCTTTGGAACCAGACATTACAGGGTACATAGCAATTTTTGTTGTGGGGGCTTTGTCTTAAAAGTCCACATCAAACATGACAGAACAATCAACTCAAGGTTTATTGTAAAATCAATTTGCCTGAGCTCATTTTGACCAGTTGCTAAGTGTCTCTATAGAGTATATGTGTTAGTTTTTGCGCTACCTGGGCACCTCCAGCCCTTCTACCAGCCAGACAATGCACTCCGGGGATGCCTCCTGACATTCTTCCATCCTGATGTCCAAATCCATCATATCATGCTCGAGGCTAGAAGAGATACAGGATCTTGACCAGAGAGTCTTGTTTATGTGCACGTGACAATTCAGTTTACTGTTTCAGTCCTTATACATTTTATTTCATATGTAAGTTATGAGAATAGGCAACATTTTATCTCTTTGTTTCATTTTGCTATATATCTATGTGTTGTTCCCACCACCACCACTTAACAACCCTAATGGAGGCCATAGTAGTTTTTCTAAGCCACAACATGTTGAGCTAATTTTGGGAGGAGAAAAAACTTTGCTTTATACTTGAAAGTCTCTCCTTTATATCAGATTTTCAGACTCTTTTTCTTGTTTTCAGAATTGTACTAACTTGAACTTGTAACTAGAAATAAATTTAATCTAAATATCTCCCTACACTGTAGGTTTCTGTACAGAATAATGGAAAGCACAGTGTTTCCAAGTCCACTGCTGCAAGCCAGACTCCGTGAAAGTCAAGGTCCGACAACAAAGATGTGCTGTATGAAAGTGCTCCCAGTGAGCGACGATGACTAAAGGACAAGTGAGAAAACTCAGACGTATGCCTTATCTGCCAATTTCTCACCCACTGGAGAAGGACAGGTTGCTTACTTGCAACTGTATTTCTTTGAGTGGTCTTCTGTGAATATACACCACTGGGTTTCAATGGTGTATGCACAGTGCTTCATAAAAATGTTCCGAAATCACTAGGCAGTTTTGGTGGTGACTTATACCTTCCTTAGGGTATAAGTCAGGCCTACACACCTTCGTCATTGTAAAGGGCAACCCCTTCTATGAGCCACCTCTTCTCTCTACAAAAGGGAAAGCCCAGGCCATTTCCCAGCTTCATGGCATTTTCATGGGAATGGCATGAGACTGGGGAAGGGAAAGGACTTCTCTTTCATAACACTACTCACCTCTGGCCTCCACATCACTGGAGGGTTTTCCTTGCTGGGCAAGGCAAGCCTAAATAGCCGAGGGGGTGAGGGGACAAGCAATCGGGCAAACTCAACTTTGCCTGCATCTCTTCTCTCCGAGCTATAAAGTCTTAACTTACAAGGCAAGCCTCTGTAGCTTTCAGAGGAAGAGAGAAAGGGCAGGAGAGTGAGCCTTCGCATGCCCACATACCTGCTGGTAAGAGCTACAGGGCCTCTCTTGGCAGACAGGCAATCTGACAAAGGGCTGGGCTTCTCCTTTACTAGTTGGCCCTTTGACTAGCAAAACTGTATATATATTTTTCAGACAGACATACAAGAAAACTTCTGCCAGCATCCAACAAGAAAATATCTGCAAGAGCACAGAAAGTACAGAAAACAGAGGCATAAATACTCTATGCCAACATAAACATCTTTTTTTTTGCATAGAAACAAGAAAAAAGAAGATGCACATATCTAATCTCATTGGTTCAGATATATCAGAGATCATTATGCAGATCAATAAAAATCCAACATTTAAACAACCTTTGCCTCTTGTTTAATCCACACTAATGACAGTATATATGCAGAAAGAACAGAATAGACGAAGGCCACATCTAATTTAAAATGAGTTCTCAAACAGTAACAGGAAATGAATGTCATTGTGGTAAACTACGGAACTGCTTAAAGCCAAGTGGTTCAACCTTAAAGAAAGCTGTTGAACACAACATAGCTCTGGTGATATGAGGGCTTTGGAAGAGGTTTCTTAACTAGTTCATAGCACAAGTCAGTATCAGAGGCAATCCATTTTGAGAGTCTCTGGAAAGGCAGGGAGTCCAATTCTGTCCTTTTCATAACAAACAAAGAGTCCAGTAGACTTCCTTATAGTAGATCCCCTGTGCAGATAGAAGGACAGAGCCCATCTTACACTCAAAATATGCAGTCTCCTCCCCAAAGGAGGTGGTGGGTCCAGAATAGAAGTTGGAAGTACAATTTTCTGGTTCATGTGAAAAGCTAGGGTCGAGTTGAATATTGGCAGATGGAGGTTTTTATACTTCTAAATAAAAACTTAAACAATTCTCTTTAGGTTCAATGAAATAGCTGAAATGTAACATTTTAACCAGGAGCTCTCGGTGGCGCAGTGACTTAAACCACTGAGCTGCTGAACTTGCTGACAGAAAGGTTGGTGGTTCGAATCCGGGGAGCAAGGTGAGCTCCCACTGTTAGGTCCAACTTCTGCCAACCTAGCACCTTGGAGGTGTCTATGGACAACGCTGGCTCTTCGTCTTAGAAATGGAGATGAACACCACCCCCCAGAGTCAAACACGACTAGACTTAATGTCATGGGAAACTTTTAGCTTTACTTTTACCTGACATTTCAACTGCAGGGAAAGGGCGTTTTCAGGAAGAATAACCAGAAACTCCAGATCCGGTTGACAATCAAAGTAATGAAACTTGTGTTCTCTCCCATATTTCAGGTAAACTCTTTGAACCTATGGCCACATCAGCTTTTTGACTTGTTCCTTGGAAGACCGTTTTACTTGTTACTGTAATGTTTGCTAGTCCACACTCCTTCGGGAGAGATAAAGTGGGGTATACATAAATATTATAATATATAATAAAATTCAGGCTGTACAGAAGTGATTATAATAATATGCTTATAACTGTATTTGTGTTTGCATTGGTTGCCCTAAGGCTGGAGCGGCCTAGCTGTGAGGAGTGTGTTACCATAGAAACGATGCTGCAGAGGAGTGGGAGGAGCTTAGAGAAGAGTGTTTTTTTGAGAAGCGACAGTTAAGAGTCAGTCAGGTTAGAGACTCTGAGAAGGGAAGAGTCAGGTTAGAGACTCTGAGAAGGAAAGAGTCAGGTTGGAGACTCTGAGAAGGGAAGAGTCAGGTTGGAGACTCTGAGTCAGGAGAGAGACAGTGTTCGTGAATAGTCAGAGATTTCTTCAGTTAGGAAAGCTGAAGAGAAAAACCTTATTAGTTTCTTTAGTTAGAAAGAACTAACAAAGGCTTGTTTAGATCCCTAGTTAAAAGAACTAGAGATCTGGTGTTTGATCATAGAAGAATCAAACGGGGAGACTATTCACCACAGTAAAACATTGTTTATTGAAGTGCTTCACCACAGCAAGAGTTTCATAAGTTGTAACATCGAAAGTCTGAACTGTATCACAACCAAGTTACATGTATCGTTCTCTAAGTATTTGCCAAGCTAACATCAAACTGCAACCATACGCTTTGTTTCAAATAAACTTGTTCTCTTTGGTTTTTAAAACTGCCTCATCTCCATTTATTCTACGCTCGGTGTACCCAATCTACCATAATTACCTCACAACACAAATAGGGTGGCATCCAGTGATATAAATACAAGAGCCTTTTACAATTTGGTGCCGGCTTGTAGGGACTCCTTTGCACAGGCGAACTCTGTTTGCTCTGAGTGAACCCTCACTATATTGCCTGTCATCGAGATAAGGTGGTCCTGAGACCCGACATTAATTGCCAGATAGGGTTGCTGGCTGCATAATAAAAGAAATGTCGACCTTAAGATGGTTGCCTAGTTTGATCACTTGGCATTTTCCATGCCAGATATGGTTTGTGTACAGTTCCATCAGCTTGGTCACTTACAATAAAATTGTTGTACTACCATTATTTTTGAACACAATCCTGTTCAATGGTATTTGACAGACTGACACTCTCAAGCCGGGTTGTAACAATTAAAATATCAAAATGAAAATCAGAGAGCATTAAAGAATCCAATAGAAAAAATCTACACACATGAAGGAACTAAAATACAGCAGAAGGTTAGCAGCATAACAATGTCTTAGACACCTGTCCAATATATATAACTGAAGGAAATAATCCAGCTTGTTGTCTCTACTAATCTTCCTTTTATGCTTTTTTTTAAAAAAAAAATAAAGCTATTTTCTTAGTTTTTTTAAAAAAATCCCATTCTTTAAAGTTGGGGTGAGGGGACGGAAGAATTAATTAGTTTCTTTTAATGAGGCATATGTTTTCCTTATCCATTTCTACTTACAAACTTCCTGTAGGTTGCAGATGTCTAACAATGCATTTATTTTGTTCATTAATACTGTCTTCTTGAACAGTTTGCAAAAGAAAATATTGTGGGAAAGGAGGGCCTCTGCTGGTAAAGTAGCGGCACTTCAGGATCTGTGGATTTATTTATTCAGGGTTGCTAGTTTCAGCTCAATTTAACTTACATTTGCAGTTAGACAATTGTGGATGAAAGAGTTCTGCCATTGAGGCAAAACAAGTATGACTTTTTTTCCATGTGGACCACTTTAAGAGTTTGGAGGGACTGCATTGACCTTCTACAGGAATTTGGAGGGCCATATTTCACTTGCCAATTCCCTTACCCTTAAAAAAAACAAACATTTTAATGGCTCCTATACCTGTTAGAGTAATTCATTTCCCAGGATCACTATGAGAATAAATACCGGTATCTGATGTATTAGCCGCCTAAATACCATAAAGACACTGAATAAAGTCTGTTAGGGGTGCTTTGAATGTGATTTTCCTGCTCCTTGGCAGGGGGTTGGACTGGATGGCCCATGAGGTATTTTTTAACTCTATGATTCTAAAGTCTTATCTTGGACTCTAAGCAGGGTTAGCTCTGATTAGTTATTAAATAGGAGACCATTAACCAATACCAAACTATATTCCAAAGGAAAGAACTGACAAAATAATCTCTGCTCATGAAATTCACAGGATCACCATAAGTCAACATGTGATTTGAAGAGGAGTGTTTCCTAGGAATGTGCAATAGATTAAAATGTTTCAAAAGTCATTACAAAATTAGGAGGAGCTCACATTTTTTTCTGAAATATTTCTAAAGCAGAGCTAGTGAAATTTTCACTACTATAATGAGAGTATTGAGATTTTGTTACTTTTTCGTTATAGTAATTGCCCATAATTACTATAATTGGAAAAACTTCTGATGTTCCTTTCTCATTTTTACAGCTATTGGGGTGAAATTTGCTATAATGGTAGAATGCATTTGCAGTGTAGAGCTAGCCAGTTTCAGAACGTTTCATTTATCCACAGAATTTTGGGAAAGTTTTTATAAACAACATTTTTCAACAAAAACTACAAGAGCTATCTCCTTGAATTTTCTCTACAATGACAGAAAATAACAGGGCATCATTCTCCCCAATTTTCTGAAATATTCATACATCTACTGATTTTAGGGATTTTTTAAAAAAGTTTCAACAAAAATGGTTTTTTAAAAGCTACAATTATTTCATTTATCTCATATATTAACCAATGGAAATGAATATTAAGGAATTCTGCATTTTCATAGAACCCTAGAGTTGGAGGTGACTCCCAAGGACCATCGAATCCAACTCCCTTCTTCCAGGCAGAAGGGCATGATCAAAACTCTCTTGACAGATGGCCATCCAGCCTCTAAACTAATTAATATGCTTCCCCTATTAAGTTGGAAGGGACCCCCAAGGGCCATCTATTTAGGGATTTCTTTCCTGCCCAGCACCGATTCATTCTTATTAGAAGTATCAGTCAATTCTCCTCTTTGCAGATTCAGCAATTTATTGGAACTATGACTGGCTGCTACTACGGAGGGACAAATCTATCTTCTATCCTGAGT